GTAGCAATAATGTTGAAGGATAAGCTATGGCAGGAAAAGAGGGACTATAAATGTATAAATTCAAGGATTATGTGGAGTAAAATAAAGATTGGATGTGAAAAGTGGGTTATAGTAAGCGTGTATGCACCTGGAGAAGAGAGAAGTGTAGAGGAGAGAGAGAGATTCTGGGAAATGTTGAGTGAATGCGTGGGGAGTTTTGAATCAAGTGTGAGAGTAATGGTGGTTGGGGATTTCAATGCTAAAGTGGGTAAAAATGTTATAGAGGGAGTAGTAGGTAAATTTGGGATGCCAGGGGTAAATGTAAATGGGGAACCTTTAATTGAGCTATGTATAGAAAGAAATTTGGTAATAAGTAATACATATTTTATGAAAAAGAAGATAAATAAATATACAAGTTATGATGTAGCACGTAATGAAAGTAGTTTGTTAGATTATGTATTGGTGGATAAAAGGTTGATGGGTAGGCTCCAGGATGTACATTTTTATAGAGGGGCAACTGATATATCGGATCATTATTTAGTTGTAGCTACAGTTAGAGTAAGAGGTAGATGGGAAAAGAGGAAGGTGGCAACAAGTAAGAGGGAGGTGAAAGTGTATAAACTAAGGGAGGAGGAAGTTCGGGCGAGATATAAGCGACTATTGGCAGAAAAGTTGGGCTAGTGCAAGATGAGTAGTGGGGGGGTTGAAGAGGGTTGGAATAGTTTTAAAAATGCAGTATTAGAATGTGGGGCAGAAGTTTGTGGTTATAGGAGGGTGGGGGCAGGAGGAAAGAGGATGATTGGTGAATGATGAAGTAAAGGGTGTGATAAAAGAGAAAAAGGTAGCTTACGAGAGGTTTTTACAAAGCAGAACTGTTATAAGAAGAGCAGAGTATATGGAGAGTAAAAGAAAGGTGAAGAGAGTGGTGAGAGAGTGCAAAAGGAGAGCAGATGAAAGAGTGGGAGAGGCACTGTCAAGAAATTTTAATGAAAATAAGAAAAAATTTTGGAGTGAGTTAAACAAGTTAAGAAAGCCTAGGGAAAGTAATGGATTTGTCAGTTAAAAACAGAGTAGGGGAGTTAGTAGATGGGGAGAGGGAGTTTTTAGGTAGATGGCGAGAATATTTTCAGGAATTTTTAAAAAATTTTGGGGGAAAAAAGGGGAGGGGGAAATTTTCATGCATGGCCAGGGAGGTATACCATCTTTTAGGATGAAGAAAGCAAATGTAAGTGTGGTGGAGGTACGTGGGGCATTACATAGAATGAAAGGGGTAAAGCAGCGGAACTGATGGGATCATGACAAAATGTTAAAAAGCGGGGGGGGATATAGTGTCGGAGGGGTTTTGGTACTTTTGTTTAATAAATGTTGAAAGAGGGGAAGGTACCTAGGGATTGGAGAGAGCAGTAAGTCCCTTTATATAAAGGAAAGGGGACAAAAGAGATTGAAAAAAATTTTTAAAAGGGGAATAAGTTTACTGAAAAACCAGGAAAAAGTATAGGGTGGGGTTATAATTGAAAAAATTTAGGGGTAAGACAGAATGTAGGTTGGGGTGAGCAGGGGGGCTCAGATGGGTAGGGGAGTGTAATAAAGTGTTTAATTGAAAAATATTGAAAGTATTTAGTAAAGGTAGGGAAGTTTTATTGTTTTATGGATTTAAAAAAGGCTATATGAGTGGATAGAGGGGCAATGTGGCAGATGTTGCAATATAGGGAATGGGGGTAAGTTACAAATGTTAAAGAGCTTTTATGGGGTAGTGAGGCTCAGTTAGGGTGTGTGAAGAGACGGAGAATATTCCCCGGTAAAAGTAGGCATAGAGGGGGGTGTGTAATGTCCCCATGTTGTTTTTAATATATTTATAGGGGGGTTGTAAAAGAAGTAAAGCTAGGGTGTTGGGGAAGGGGGGGGTTTAAAAATTATGGGGAATAAAATTTAAAAAATGGAATTGACACATTTACTTTTGCTGATGATACTGTGCTTAGGGGAGTTTCAAAAGAAAAATTCCCAAAGGTTAGTGGATGAGTTTGAGAATGTGTAAAAAGGTAAAAATTGAAAGTAAACTAGAAAAGAGAAAGGGTGAAGGGATAAAATGATTTAGATAAAGAAAAATGATATCAAATTGGGGAGGGGGATATGGAAAAGGGAAAATTTTTTTCAGATACTTGGGAGTTACGTGCCCGGGGGATGGTTTTATGAAGGATGAGGTTAATCATAGAATTGATGAGGGAAAAAAGGTGAGGGGTGGTTGAGGTAAGTGGATTCAAAAAACATTTTCTAGAGGCAAAGAAGGGAATGTATGAAAATATAGATACCCAAACTCTTTTGGATGTGAAGCTTTGGGGGGTAAATGCAGAGCGAGGGGAAACGGTTGGACATAATGTCCTTTTAAGGGCAATGGTGGTGTAAAAATTATGCAGAAAATTCGGAGTGGGGAAATTAAGAAGGGTGGAGTTAAAAAAAGCATTAGTCGAGGGGAGAAGGGGGTTGTTGAGGGGGGTTTTTGGTCATTTAGAGGAATGGATCAAAGTAGAAGACGGAAAGCATATAAATCTATAGGGGAAGGAGGGGGGTGGGGGCGCCTCGAAAGGGTTGGGAAAAAGGGGGTAAAAAGGGGGTTTTGTGGGCTAGGGGCTTGGATTCCACAAGCGTGCATGAGCGTGTTAGATGGATGAATGGAGGCGAATGATACTTGGGACCGACAACTGTTGGAGTGTGAGGGGGGGTAATATTTAGTGAAGGGAATTTAGGGAAACCGTTATGTTCTATTCGGACTTGAGTCCGGGAAAAGGGAATACAATCCTCACTTTTAAAGGGGGGTTTGGGATATTGGCAGTTTGGGGGGATAGTTGGTTTTCTTTTTACTATATCTTTTAAACGTTGATTCTGAGCCCCCTGCAAAAGCATGATAATGTGGAGGGGTGAAAAAGGGTTTATGAGATGAAAATATTTTCTTTTTGGGGATTTTTTTTTCTTTTTTGGGGCACCCCGCCCCGGTGGGAGACGACCGCTTTTTGAAAAAAAAAAAAAATTTTAAAAAAAGTAAAAAAAAGTAGATCTACTTTTTTGCACTACAAATTTGAAAGTCGATCTCTTTGGGCTGTTTTTAAAGGGTTAACTGAAGAATAATAAAAGAGCAGAATGTAAATTATTATTTAAAAAATGACATTCCCCCAAATGTATTATTAATCAAGAAATGAGAAGTTGCGTAAATGAAAATATTTAGGATGGAAATTCAATAATGTGTGCTGCAAAGAATCTAGTAGATGCACTTTGAACTTCACTGAATGGAAAAAAATAGCATAGGATGCATAGGAAATCTTCAGGGTGTACTGCTGTTCATTATGGCAAAGCAATATACTGCTAAAAGCAGTTAAGTTGAACATGAGCAGGATTGAACTAACCAAATTAAATGACAAAGAATGAAGTTTGAAGCTGGCGAGGCTGAAAATTTGCCAGGCTAGGTATGAATCACATAATAAAATGATCAAACTAACATAATTAGTGATCTTTAAGTCTTTCATCAAATACAAGGCACATTTTGTACTAACTTGGAAGTTGAGAAATTTATGTATAATAAATTATGTATTCAATGCAGAGCCCTGCTGAATATTTTTTATGCACCCTGATTCACTAGAATTACCGATAAACAAGGAATTTAAAAATATTGTACAGTGGACCCTCGACCAACGATATTAATCCATTCCTGAGAGCTCATCGTTAATCGAAATTATCGTTAGTCGAGTTAATTTTCCCCATAAGAAATAATGGAAATCAAATTGATCCGTGCAAGACACCCAAAAGTATTGAAAAAAAAAATTTACCACATGAAATATTAATTTTAATACACACAAACTGAAGAAGACATGTACAATTACATGACACTTACCTTTATTGAAGATCTGGTGATGATTGATGGGATGGGAGGAGGGGAGAGTGTGGATGGTGTTAGTGTTTAGAAGGGGAATCCCCTTCCATTAGGACTTGAGGTGTCAAGTCCTTTTCCGGGGTTACTTCCCTTCTTCTTTTAATGCCACTAGGACCAAGCTTGAGAGTCACTAGACCTCTGTCGCACAACATATCTGTCCATAGAGGCCTGTACCTCCCGTTCCTTTATGACATTCCTAAAGTATTTCACAACGTTGTCAGTGTCACAATTAAACACTTGTTCAGTTTTCAATTCTTCACTGTCTATGTACTCCTTGAATTCCTGCACATATTTTTCAGCTGCTTTTTGGTCCGAACTGGCAGCCTCACCATGCCTTATCACACTATGTATGCCACTACGATTCTTAAATCTCTCAAACCAACCTTTGCTGGCCTTAAATTCACTCACATCACCACTAGTTGCAGGCATTTTTCTAATTAAATCATCATGCAACTTCTTAGCCTTTTCACATATGATCGCTTGAGAGATGCTATCTCCTGCTATCTGTTTTTTGTTTATCCACATCAATAACAGTCTCTCAACATCTTCTATCACTTGCGATCTCAGTTTCGAAAACATAGTTGCACCCTTGGCAAGAACAGCTTCCTTGATTGTCGTTTTCTTGGCCACAATAGTAGCGATGGTTGATTGGGGTTTTGTGTACAACCTGGCCAGCTCGGAGACACTCTCTCCACTTTCATACTTAGCAATGATCTCTTTCTTCATATTCATAGTAATTCTCACCCTTTTTGCTGTAGGGTTGGCACTAGAAGCTTTCTTGGGGCCCATGGTGACTATTTTGCAGGTGCAATCACTAAAAACACTGTGATAATATGAAATGTTCCGATTGTATGTTTGGATGGGACCGCGGTGGCTGGCTGGCTTGTAAACACTGGCCACAAGTGGACGCGTCTCGAACAGAACGAATCGTGTTGGTCGAGTTTTTTAGCACTAGTCGAGGCAAAAATTTGGCATTAAAATGTATCACTAGTCGGATTTAACGTTAGACGATGCCATCGTTGGTCGAGGGTCCACTGTAATTTGATTTCCTTAAGTATTCAACTTAACATGTTTTATTTATTGATACCTTTGTCAACAGCTGTTGTTCCAAATGCAAGTGATCGTGCTTCACATGAAAGTGTCACTAGTATTGAGTTCTTCCATCCATTACCTGAAAATACATCACGGAAACATAGGGCGAGTTTTTTAGCACTAGTCGAGGCAAAAATTTGGCATTAAAATGTATCACTAGTCGGATTTAACGTTAGACGATGCCATCGTTGGTCGAGGGTCCACTGTAATTTGATTTCCTTAAGTATTCAACTTAACATGTTTTATTTATTGATACCTTTGTCAACAGCTGTTGTTCCAAATGCAAGTGATCGTGCTTCACATGAAAGTGTCACTAGTATTGAGTTCTTCCATCCATTACCTGAAAATACATCACGGAAACATAGGGCAGCTTCACTCAGTCCTACTTCTGTCAACAAAGGTAAAGTGCAGGAGCGTCGTGCCTTAAGCAGTAGTCGCAGACGAGATGGTAGCAAACGTATCAGCACCCATTGGAGTGAAGATAAAGAGAACCTTCACATTGCCACCACTACAATCACCACCACCACCACCAACAGTAGTAAAAGAAACAGGCGTATTCACAGTGGCAATTCCAGCGAAGCAGTGTTCCCACAACAGGCTGCTCAACCCCTACTATCTCACCAACCTGAAGAGGAAGGAGATGGGGGTACAACTTCTGGTGAATCTCCCGATTTGGGTATTGGCTCTGACTATCACTTCTCCAGCTTAGAAAGAGGGACTCGCACGCTGCACTCACTTGTACACACTGCTCATGATCTCCCAATACCTCCGTTGTGCTCCGAACCTAGTAAGTTTCATCTAGTATAATGTCTGAATATTCTCTCCTCAGACCACAGCAAAAAGTCACTGATTCACATAAGGCTTTCCACCAGTGTTAAACTCAAATTTTAAATAAGTGTCTTGTTTACCAAAAGCATCGTTTTTGGTTATTTTTTCTTGACAACCGTACACTGACAATCTTTCTCTCCCGGTATTTTCAGATTGAAATTGTAATGATTTTTTTCTGAGGTCTGCTCGAGAGCCTTACTCTCATAGCAACTCTGTATATATTACTAACATTTCTAACATACCTAAAGCACAAAGACATTTTACAATATTTTCAAGTAAAAGATTAATTGTAACCTTTTAATTTTCCCCAGACAGGTCTCCCCAACATTCGAGTTTTCAACTTTCGGGCTTCACAATTCACAATTCCCCCCCGCCCAAAATTTCCCGCTGCCAAATCATATTAATTTACCCCCACGAGTCCTTACTACCCTCCCCCCGACCCCCGCAATGGGAGCCAGCCCCCCCACCCGTGTGGGAGGGTTTTTTTTGTTCATTATTTTTATTAAACTACAGTATAAATATTTTAAAACCCCTCCATGACTGATATTAAATGGGATTCAGAAGGATTGGAAGGTGACTCATGTTTTACTCTGAACACGAAAAAATCAAACATTTTTTTCTACTGCTAATAATAATAAAAAATATATAATAAAATAATAAATACGATAGAATTGAAGAAGGAAATTGTACAAAAATACGAGGGCTGAAGCAGTGGTGGAGGAAGTGGTTGACGCAGCGTCAGTGTGGCTTTGTTTATGCTGGAGTGAGTATTAGTCTCCGTGCTCTTCCAAACATTTCACAATAATTCTCCGTGTTCTTCCAAACATTTCACAATAATTCATTGTATTTGGTGCTTGTAGATTGAGTGTGACTGGAGTGGTTGAGGCAGTGGTAGAGGCAGTTATAGAGGCAGTGGGTGAGGCAGCAGTTGAGGCAGTGGTAGAGGCAGTGGTAGAGGCAGTGATAGAGGCAGTGATATTTACTAACATATATTTTATAAATAATAATAGAAACATTATGAATAACATTTTTTAAATTATTATTATTATTATTATTATTATTATTATTATTTTTTAATTTATTTTATATAAATTTTGTTAATATTAAAAATGTACTATTATTATTTATAACATATATGTTAGTAAATACCACTGCCTCAACCACTCAAGTCACACTCAAACTACAAGCACCAAATACAATGAATTATTGTGAAATGTTGGAAGAACACGGAGACTAATACTCACTCCCAGCATAAACAAAGCCACACTGACGCTTTCGTCAACCACTTCTCCACCACTGCTTCAGCCCTCGTATTTTTGTACAATTTCCTTCTTCAATTCTATCATATTTATTATTATTATTATTATTATTATTATTATTATTATTAATAATATGTATTATTACTTTTATATTATTATTATTATTATTATTATTAAATTTTTAGCAGTAGCACAAATGTTTGATTCTTTGCTGTGTTCAAGAATAAACACATGATGTCACCTTCCAATACCTGTCCGAATAGCCATTCCAATATGCAGTCATAAATGGGTTTACATTATTTATACTGTAGTTTAATAGCAAATAATGAACAAACAAAACACTCACCACACAGTGGTGGGAGGGCTGGCTGCCAGTTGTGGGGGTCAGAGGGAGGGTAGTAAGGACTTGCAGTGGTGGAGGCAGTGGTATTTAGTAACATAAATGTTGTTAAGGCATAACGTATGTATTTAGTACAATTTACGATGTTTTCATATATTTTATGATTGTTCATGGTTCAACAAGTTAAGGAAGCAGTATTGTATTATATTTCCCTACAATATATTGGGGCACCAAACATTCACGGTTTTTCAACATTCGCCAGGCTCTTGATCCCCTAACCCTCGTGAGTGTTGAGGGAGACCTATACACCATTTGTAAATGTATAATTCAGTTAAAAATGAAAGCCTATTCATTGTATTTTAGATTTATTTTTTCCTATGCTTATTGACTTAGTGCAGCTTTCCCACACGTACTGACCCTTTTAAACCAGCACTTTAGTGCCCAAGGACCATTTTTGTGATTAGAATCTTTTGTTCTATATTTATGTTTTAACATTGTTAATTACTTATGTTTATAAAATGAGATAAATTTTGCATTATAATAATCAAGGGGGGAGCACTAAACCCGTAGGGTTATACAATGCCTGTGAAGGATGTGGAAGGTATTCAGGTTTAATTCAGGGAACTGAAGGACAGATCCAATTCCCTAGATAAAGATCCCCTCACCAGCATCGAGGAACCTTCCTTGAGGGGATAAATTTTGCAAAATATTGTGCAAGTATGCACACTGTAAGACATCTCTGAGATATTGAATGTTATAGATATCTACATATCTTGTGGCCTGGTATTAATATTGCATGGAACATTGGTCTTGGGTAAAGAAAGCTCTGGTTTAGAGGATATAGTTTAAAGATTTTAGCTACTTTTTACCACAACTAGACCCCCCCCCTAAGATGATGGTTCTTTGTTTCAATTTATGGCTGCAGATCTCCAGCAGTTCCTGAGTGAGTACACACTGTGAATGAAAGTGTTTGTTTAGTAGCTACCCTGTAAGGGTTGATCCAATAGGGTTTTTTCAGATTGTGATTGTTATCTGTAGATTTTGTTTAGATACTCTGTGATATTTTCATCTGAGCTGAGATCAAAATTGTTGCTAGATGCTTTGCTTGTAAGTTGCAGATATAAATTCATATTATTAACTATTTATCTTTAAAAATGTATAAAATATTTTTATTTAATATTAGCTTTTCCCATTGTATTGATTCCTAATTTTGCAAATCAGTTAAACAACTGTTAAATTCAATAACATAACACCTTAACACAGGTTATTTACCTTCAACATTTTGGGAAACTGAATGGTAAAAAAGTTTATTTTTGAACTTAGTAATGTATATTTATCGTGAAATGTCTTGATCAATGATAAAAAATCATTTATTTCTAATGTATGTGATAAAGTGATTAACTCTCAGCCATATGATAACTTCCTGGAATTGTACATATGCAATCTGGATCACCCAATTACCTCGTGCTTGCTCTGGTAATTGTCTCCGAGTTTGCAGTGGGACGAGTTCTAGCTTCTAGTTTTATATTTAATTTTGCATGCTAAGAAATTATTAAGAGAAGTGCAGTTGCTATTATAAGTTGCATTATGCTTTAGAGTATAAAATAATAAGTAGGATAAAAATAGCATGTTAATATCATGTATAGTGCTTTGAGTATTCACCTTTAGTTGCAAGCATGTTTTATCATTTCCTGCATACTGTATTTGCTTTATGGCAGATTATTAACCCTTTGACTGTCGCAACCCCCAATCCTGAGGTGTCTCCTGGTGTCGCAAAATTTAAAAAAAAAAAAATATTTTTTTGTGAAATGATAGAGAATCTTTTCCCGATTGTAAAGACACCAAAAAAAACGAAATTTGATGGAAAACTGACGGAATTACGCTCTCGTGAAGTTAGCAACCTCGGCGATATTTACAAATCGGCGATTTCGCCCACTTCGAGCCCTATTTTCGGCTAATTCCATTATTCCAGTCAACCAAACTCATAGCTATTTCTTCAGAACTCCATTTTTTCCATCGATTGAGTACAAGAAACTGCCCATTTACTGATTTCAACTACCCAATAACATGGTCAGAAATTTGCAAATTTGGCCAATTTCACGAAAATTAAAAAATATGACAATTTCAAAATAAGGACCAGAATGAACAATGCAGACATTCCTGGCTCTAAAATAACATTTTCTTTGTTCATCAGTCATGTCTCCAGGCCTCTCTGATATTACTCTTGCTTTTTATTTTGAAATTTTATTCAAACAAAAAATAGAAGATTTACTGTTATGCAGACTACTGTAATAATTGTAAAAATTACATCAACCCATTCATGACTGCATATTAGAATGGCTATTTGGACATTTATTGGACAATGACATCATTTGTTTACTTTTGAACATTGGCAAAAATCAAACATTTCCCGTACTTTGTGCTCCATTTCCAGGTTCTTTTTATAGTAAAATTAATCAAAATAACCTCTATTTCTATAATATAGTTTCCATTCTATCAAATGAGACCAAGAAAACGAGAATACAACCACAAATACTATACGAACATAGACCACAAAGTCGGCATTTTAATTAAAAACAACGGTCGGAGTTTTTTTTTCTCATTATGCACTGCGTGCTCCAGGATTTTTTTTATATGGTGCACACTGACCACACAGACCCATTCTCTCACATGTGGGCCTACCAGCTTTCTCCTGCCTGATTTGAAGCCGCTAGAATTTATGAGTATATATACGTCAAACACGGTACCTCATAAACGTATATATACGGCCGCGACAGTCAAAGGGGTAAGAACTGAAGACAATAAGTAATAGGTCTTAATATTGATAAATAACACAAGCGTGCAACACCTGGGTATCTTTATTGATGTGACTTTTTGAACAACCAGTGGCTTTAATTCATTACAGAATAAACACTGGAGACAGTTGTAAAGGAGAGGAAATTTTGAGGTTTATTTTTCATCAAAAAGGATACCTGTGTGTTTTATTACATTAATGGTATACAATAAGAACACAAGAGGTCTTGTGGTATACAGATCAGAAACTTTATAAGTTACAGTATACAGTAATATCTCTTGCATTCATAGTAATGCATGCACTGGAGCATCTAAATTATAATACAATTCTGAGCAATAAAAATCATCTACAACTATTATTCATCAGATAGAAAATCAGAAAGATATTTTTGCAATTTGAAATATAAAAATCTTCGACAACTATTATTCATCAGATATAAAATCGGAAAGATATTTTTGTAGATTTAAATTATAAAGTTTCTACTCAGAAATTCCAAATTCTGTAGATCCTTTCTAAATAAGATACTTTGAGAATTTGGAAGAATTCCCAATATGGTATAGAAATATGACTGAATCCTATTAACCTTTACTGATCCCCTCTGTTTTTAATTTTAATTTTTTTTTCTAATGACATATTGATAGTGTACAAAGAGAAAAATAATTTGCATGCCTGCAGTGCTACAGAGTGACTCAAGTGGAAGAGATGTGCAGCACTGTATTTTAAGACAAAACATTTGTTAGTAAATTTTTTCTAGTGTTATGGTGCCACATTTACTCTCCTTTATTAAAAAAAAATTGTGGTTACCAAGATTTTGCTGCATCATGTGCACTTGCATGATTTATGGGGTGATTTTTGCATTATGTGTACACATAATTTTTTTTTTTTTTTTTTTAACAGTATCACCTTATTTGGGATATAATATTGTGAGTTTCTTAGTCGACTATCTCATTACCTTTACACCCTTATAAGGAAGTCTCATTTTCACTCCTGTTTATACATGTTCCTGCTTTTTATCTGTTGGTTTACAAAGTACATATTCATTAGGAGGCAAAGGACTAGATAGATATTGTAATGTTTACAATGTATTTGCTGTAGTCATAATATATGTATAATGCAAAATAATTACATTAGTTAGTCTGATTACATTATTATTACATGCAAGATTTCACCTAGTTAAGTGAGGACTCATTATACAGGAGCATTATGTTGCCAGTATATTTATTTCATCTTGTTACTGAAACTGAACAAACTAGTCCAGCTCTCCAAGCTTTAATTGATAATCTTTAAAATTGCCTTTTTTAAGTCTGCCTCTGAAAAAAATATTCATAATTCTTAACCGAAATGATAGAATAAAACTGGCTCGTACTGACCATAAGCAGTTAGCAAACCAGTAAAGGTTTGTAATTATAAAGCATTTACATTATCCCGCAGTAATGGATTTTTCCCCGCAGTAATGGATTTAAATTAGATAAGTTTAGATTTAGAAAGGACATAGGAAAGTATTGGTTTGGAAATAGGGTAGTTGATGAGTGGAACAGTCTACCTAGTTGGGTTATTGAGGCTAGGACTTTGGGTAGTTTCAAATTTAGGTTGGATAAGTGCATGAGTGGGAGGGGTTGGATTTGAGTGGGACTTGCACATCAGAGCTTGTTTCATGGGTGGCATTGAAAGTTGGGTTGGTCAAATGTTTGTTAGTGGGATGAATTGTAAAGGACCTGCCTAGTATGGGCCAACAGGCCTGTTGCAGTGTTCCTCCTTTCTTATGTTCTTATTAGAATTCTCTTAAAATATGGTAATATGATACACACAGCTAACTTATATAAACTTAGCATCACACTTTGTACTTTTATTACAGTAGGACACCCCTAACCATGGGGAATATTTTCCAAGGACCTTAATGCAGATAGTAGCAAACCCTATATGTACATGTTTTTCTTTGACATACATACCTATTATAAAGTTTAATTGATAATTCTCCACTTATTGTGTAATTTATCACTTTTTCCCTGATAAGTATTTCATGGCTTCTCTTAGGATTTGAAGAACTTCCACCATCATTACTTTTGTACTCTGAGGCCAAAATTAAGGGTTATTTTTGGGCCATGGTAAACCATGGATGCCAGACTCGTGAATATGAGGGTCCTACTGTATTATTTTCCAGTCTTAAGATAATGATACACAATATGTATTTAATTTGAGCATCTTTGTTACTAAACTTTGCACTAGAAATGCAAATTCATTAAAAAAAAAAATTGAAACTTACAATTAATACTTTCTTCCTCTCTACCTTTTCAAAGACCTTTAGCCACATCATTTGATTTTTTTTTTTTTTTTCCTGCCACTGCTTGTTTCTAAATAAAAATTTGCTTTCTTTAGGTCACAGCACTTTAAGTGAAGAGAATCAGCAGTTGAGACTTCAGCGGGATAATCTAACATCTAAGTTGGCCTCTACAACAGAAACATTAAAAGAAGCTCTAGAGAAGCTCTCCAAAGCAAATCAGCGTAAGGAAAATGTAGAAAGAGCTATTTGTAAACAACTCTACAAGACACATGATGTGTTAAAGAAAGCAAAAACTCACCTTAAGCAAGCAAATGCACTTCCTCAATAAATTTCAGTGTTTATATGAGGCTATCTGGTTAGTGAAAAAAATTAACATTCTGTATAAAAGTTGCAGATACTGCATTGGACCTAGTGTGTTGGCCACTGGTAAATTCATTAGTGCTATTGGTATTAATAACTTACCACAGTGAACTGTCAAAACAATATATGTAGTGCAAGACAAATGTCAGAACTAAAAATGTCTGCATGTAATTTGAAGTATACTTGTGTTGCAATGTGGAGAGAGTGAAGACAGTTGTGAGAATTGCTCCAAGTTAAATGGCTGTTTGACTCCTTGTGTACCGTCCTATATAATTTGTGACTTTACAGGTTGGTGATAAATGATACAAGAACACTACATAAAGTATTGGGAATACTCCCTGCTCTGTGATAATTGGAATAACCTTGGCAGGTCTGATACTTGGCTTTCTGCACCAGTGTTTGTAAATTTTATTACAATTTGTAAAGCTGGCATCTTATTGTTAAACATGATTGTATTGTATATATGGTGCTGATATGTGGGGTCCACACTAAGTTTTGCTTTTGAAATGTTGCCATTCACAGTAATTTAATACCATCACTTGTTGGGTTGCCTTCTGTGATTACAATAGCCCATATCAGGTTTTGTGAAATTTTAAGGATTAAGTTATAGCAAAACTGAGCATATGCATTGTTCCATATTTAAGCATTTATTCATCACAAGCCCTATTTTCTATGGACATTCCAACTGTTAATCACAACCTTGGTAAAGATTACTATCATTTAATTGATTTTATTAGAGTTTCTATCTCTTCCTGTAACAGTCTTGGTGGTCTTATTATTTTACTGGTTCATTATGGAGATTGCTGTTTAAAATTTTACAAAAAAAAAAAATGTATATACTGCACATGTACATTTTCTATATTTATTTGTGGTTTACTTTATGAAAATTGTTTTGGTGGTTCTGGTTAAACTGTGCTGTTCTTTTGTCGTGGTGCTGCTACTTAGGGCTAGTGTGTGTGTCCACAAATGAAATGTTTCTGTTTGGTAGCAGAAATAAGATGTGCACAGTTTGAAAGCCTTTACAAGCAACTGCCTACGATTTCATGCACACAAATACTTCTGCCTCCAATCCAGTTTGTTGTACAATATTTTAATATTTATATTGTATACATTAGGAATATGCCAAAGTATTGGTGTGTATTGGCCTCAAATTGGGTATTGGCAAAAATTTTGGTATTGTCAAAGTCCTAGTATACATTTTGTTTAATGACAGGATATGTTGAAAATATCCTTGTGATGAAATATTGCTTATTTTTAATCCTTATTACCGGGTATTAATAGAAAAGGTTTTTACATCGGATGATTGTACAATATTACGGTACAATACCTTACTGTAAAAAATTAATATATATGTAATTATACACATTTGTATATATAGCACACAAGGCATAAGAATATTACACAAAGGGTGCTTGTACAGCTTCAGAAATGTGTATATACTGTATTTTGTACCAAGCTGGTTGTCTTCCAAGATTTATTATGTACAAAGTAGGTTAAAAGTGTGTGTGCTTTGTGCACATGGGCCTCAAATGAACTGATATGTATTATATAGTTGAACTGACATGAAGCTTAAAATATCATGAAATAATTAACTTTTTTTTTTAATCAGACCTGTAATTAATATTGAAAATCTAAGGATAAAAGCAAAAACTACTACTACACTTCCATTCATGAGGGAAGCACTAAATTCATAGGTGTCATACAGAACCAGGAGGCACAGGTTTGATCCAAGGACAGGAAGGACAAGTTCAAAGCCTCACCAAGGAACCTCTCGAGGGAAAGTGGCAACAAACGAGTAACTACAGTACTCGAAAACATCACACTGGCAAAGCCAATACTGAAAATAAGCCTCAAACCCTCACGAGAGACAGCTAAAAATAAAACAATTATGTTTTGACTTGGTAAAATTCTTCAACACTAAATGACCCATATGGGTTTGGTGCTTTTTTTTTTTTTTTTTTTTTAACTGATTAATCTACTAACACGTTCCAACACCTAACGTCCACAGCAGAGCACTGAATTGTAGGGGTCTTAGTATGAATTCGACAATTCTCTCCATTGTTTCAATTTAAAGGGCCAGATTAATAGATATTGTATCACTAGTATAAAACTACACTAGAATTATTTATGTATCCTAGTAGTTACAAAGCCTTACTTGACACTAATTGCTTAGGTCCTGGATATAAATGCAAAATCAAGTGGAGAATCAGGCTCATTTATAAGGTTGGAGTAGCAATCCAGTTGTCCACCCATCCATCCAATCTTATATCGTGCAACCAACTGAAATGAGAGCATGACATTATTATTATAGCATTTAGGAAGGGCAGTTCCAAACCTGAAGGGGCCATACATTACATACATACATTAGTGTAGGTAACATTGATGTATTTGCCTTAACTGAGACGTGGTTTAATTCAAAAAGTCGGGACATGCCTGCGGAATGTCATATTCAGGGTTTTAAATTGTTCCAAGAAGATAGAAGTATTGGGAGGGGGGATGGGGTGGCATTGTATGTCCGAGATCGCTTGAACTGTTGCATAAAAACGGGTATTAAGTCTGAAGTAACACATACAGAGTCTGTTTGGATAGAATTTTCAGAGGGGCATGAAAAACTGATTTTAGGAGTGATATACCGTCCCCCAAACTTAGATAGGGACCAAGGGAAACTACTATGGGAGGAAATTGTTAAGGCCACAAGGCACAATAATGTAGAAATTCTAGGAAACTTTAACTTTAGTCATGTTGATTGGAATTTCTTGACTGGGAATTTAGAATCATACGACTTCTTAAAAGTATTTCAGGATTGTTTTTTGAAGCAGTTTGTGACAGAACCTACAAGGGGAAATAACCTGCTTGATTAGTTATGGCAAACAATGAATCCTTGTTAATAATTTAGAAATTTCAGAGGAATGGGTGCTAGCGACCACAAAATCAATTACATTTAGCATTGAATGGAAGTACGATAGTAGCGATAACTCAGTAACAGTCCCAGATTTTCGCTTAGCAGATTACGATGGGCTTAGAAAAACACTTATCATCTGTTGACTGGGGAAACGAAGAGAGCTATCAAAAATGACAGTTTTCTGAACACTATACATGCTGCTCAAAGAGCGTTTATCCCATATAAAAAAATTAGATCAAATAGAAAGACCCAAAATGGATGATAAATAGGCTAAAATATCTACTGGGGCATAAAGGAATTTATAGGTGTATCAAAAGAGGTGAGGGTTATCTTATGAATCAGTATATTGACATTAAGAGGGACATTAAAAAAGGGGAAAAGAAAAGCTAAAAGGGACTATGAAATTAAAGTTGTAGGGATTCTAAAACTAACCCAAAAAGTTTTTTCCAGGTCTATAGAAAAAAAGTTAGAGATAAGATAGGTCCCTTAAAAATAACTATGGGCACCTTACTGACAAAGAGAATGAAATGTGCTTGATTTTAAATAATTATTTTCTCTCAGTTTTTACACAGGAAGACATACAATATTCCAGTAATTAATTTTTACAGTGGGCTAGAAGAAGTAAATTTTGTAACAAAACACAGTCACTAGTGAGATGGTTGTGAAGCAGATAGACAGACTGAAGCCAAAATAAGTCGCGGGTCCTGGGTGAGGTTTTTTCAAGGGTTCTTAAGGAATGCAAAATGGAACTCTGTGAACCATTAACTAATATTTTTATTTATTCTTCAAACAGGTTTTAGTGTCTGATATGTGGAAGATGGCTAATGTAACTCCTATTTTTAAAGCGGGACAAGTCGTACCGTCAAATTACCGCCCAATAAGCCTGACCTCAATTGTAGGCAAATTACTAGAGTCAATTATAGCTGAGATTATAAGAAGCCATCTCGATAAGCATAGCTTGATTAATGATACTCAGCATGGATTCACAAGAGGCCGGTCTTGTCTAACTAATTTATTAACTTTCTTCAGTAAAGCTTTTGAGGCTGTTGACCACAATAAAGAATTTGATATTATTTACTTAGATTTTAGTAAGGCTTTTGATAGAGTTCCACCACCATAGACTGTTAAAGAAAGTGGCAAGCTCATGGCATTGGGGGAAAAGTGCTCTCGTGGATCGAGTCATGGCTCACTGACAGGAAGCAGAGAGTGTCCATAAATGGGGTTAAATCCGAGTGGGGATCTGTAACAAGTGGCGTTCCACAGGGATCAGTCTTGGGCCCGTTGTTGTTTATAATATATATCAATGATCTTGATGAGGGATTACTAGTGATATGAGCAAATTCGCCGATGACACAAAGATAGGTAGGATAATTGATTCAAACGTAGATGTTATGGAACTTCAGGAGGATTTAAACAAACTCTATTCTTGGTCAGAAAAGTGGCAGATGCAGTTCAATGTAGATAAATGCAAGGTTCTGAAGCTTGGGAGTGCCCATAACCCTAGTACTTATAAGTTAAATGATGTAGAACTTAGCCATACAGATTGCGAAAGGACTTGGGGGGTTATGGTGAGCAGCAACCTTAAACCAAGACAGCAATGCCTAAGCGTACGTAATAAGGCAAATAGATTACTGGGATTTATATCAAGAAGTGTAAGCAACAGAAGTCCAGAGGTCATACTGCAGCTTTATACATCATTAGTAAGGCCTCACCTAGATTATGCAGCTCAGTTCTGGTCTCCGTATTACAAAATGGACATAAATTCGTTAGAAAACATTCAGCATAGGATGACTAAATTAATACATAGCATTAGAAATCTTCCTTATGAAGAAAGATTGAAGACTCTTAAGTTACATTCACTTGTTAGACGAAGAATGAGGGGAGACCTGATCGAAGTGTACAAGTGGAGATAGGTATTAATAAAGGGGATATTAATAAGGTCTTGAGGATGTCTCTCCAAGAGAGAACCCGCAGTAATGGATTTAAATTAGATAAGTTTAGATTTAGAAAGGACATAGGAAAGTATTGGTTTGGAAATAGGGTAGTTGATGAGTGGAACAGTCTACCTAGTTGGGTTATTGAGGCTGGGACTTTGGGTAGTTTCAAATCTAGGTTGGATAAGTACATGAGTGGGAGAGGTTGGATTTGAGCGGGACTTTCACATCAGAGCTTATTTCTTGGGTGGCATTGAAAATTGGGTTGGGCAAATGTTTTGTTAGTGGGATGAATTGTAAAGGACCTGCCTAGTATGGGCCAGCAGGCCTCCTGCAGTGTTCCTCCTTTCTTATGTTCTTATGAATGAGAGGCAATTAGTGACTAAGGAAAGGGATAATAGCTAATTCATTGGATCAGTCACATTTCATCATGTTACCTTCTTTGAAGGGCTGAAATATTAATGCTTTGTACAGTATTGATAACATCAGCAAATAATGTTCTTTGTACTGCATGAATTTTCTATACCCATTTTTTAACCAATATTCTCAGTTCCATCTTATTCAGCAAAGTTGAAAAATTTTGTAGATATTAATGCTTAAGCTTTCAGAAAAAATAATTTGTAATAATTTTTAAACACACTGGCAAGTTAACATCACAGTTCAGTTGGTCCTCCAAGCTGCAACATCCAAACCCTTCTTCAGAGTTGCAGGCACCATACTTCCCACCTCCAGGACTGAAGTCCAGCTAACTAGTTTTCCTGAATCTCTTCTTAAATGTTACCTTGCTCAAATTTGAACAGCACATTATCACAAAAACCGCCTGCCTCCACTCCTATTTAACATGCTCACACAAGGCTGTTGTTTGCCCAAGCCCCAGCACTCAAAATCTTCATGCCACTCCCTCTAACCCTTCCATGGATGACCCCTGCCCCCTTTCTCTACACCCCAGATTTATACACCCTCCTAGTCATCCTAATCTGTTCCATCCTCTCCAAATGTTAGCCGACTGCTGTAAGTCAATGGGAAGTGGTAGTATACCTTAGACAGGGAATGGTTTTGAAATGAGCTGAGGCAGGATAATGGCTCTTAGCCTGTAAAATTTATGTTTCAAAAAATATTCATCCGTCTGAATTATACCTTTGGTAACCCCACACCTTCTAATCTCTAAGCATTAAATTCTCAGTATAATATTCACACAACATATTGCCCTCGAACATGCCCACTGCTTCGACTTACTCCTCACTGCAACACCCGAATAACTGGAATATTCCCCCTTTTGGCCTACAAACAAATTTCTTTTTCCACAGATCCCTCAAGACACATCTCACCTTTTCTCTTCAATTCCACAGTTCACCTTATCTTTCACAAACCCATCTGCTGACAAATCAACTCCCAAATTTTTAGTTACTCTCATCACCTTGCTCTTGCCTGTGTTCACTTTCAATTTCCTTCTTTTACATACTCCCAAATTCCTCCACCAGTCTCTGCAACTTCTCTTCATCAAACACCCTAGAATTCACTTTTATAACCTCATCTACAAATATGTATGTTAAACCACCATAGTGACATTACACATCCCTGTCTGAGGTCTACTTTTACTGGACAACAACCCCTCTCTTAGATATCTTAACCTGACCCTCACTATCCACATAAAGATTATTGCTTTTAGTAACCTACAACTTATTCCATACATTTGCAACACCTGCCACATTGTTCCCTTATCCACCTTATCATATGCCTTTCTAAGTCCATAAATGTAACAAAAAGTTTCTTACCTTTATCTAAGTATTCTTTAATGTAAACACTTGTTGTACATGTTCCCTAACTTTCCTAAGCCATATGTATAACTTAAAGACTACATAATTCATGACCTCTCAATCTTTCACCAACATGTAAGAAGTACTGCCAGAATGAAGGTAAAAGTTTACAAGAGGAAATGAGACCAGTTGTTGGTGTAAGTGCTGGATCAGTCAGAGTGTGATGGCTATGAATATAATAATGCTATATAATACCAAAAGTAGGTAAGAACACGTGCAACATTTAAGTATCTTTTCCGAGATGTTTTTGCCTTCAGATAAATACAAAGGAAGCAGTGGAGACGTAGAGACAGTGTAATATATCCATCACCCTTGTAATGGCTACTGAGAACTGCAAGTTGCAGGTAGCAACTGATCATGCAATTATCAATGCAATTTTGCCACAATCTGGGCTGTGTGGGAGTAGAATTCCCAACACTGGTTACTGACATGTATGGAAGAAGCTGTAGGAGTTAGAACTTTTGATGTTAGAACAAATAACTGCCATATTACCTGCAATGCTACTGTATACATATTCTGCTCTGCCATTCTTCTACCAATACAGGAACGGGGACCATGACCGAAGGGAAGAACAAGAAAGGGATTGATGTTTTCTTTTTTCATCCAGCGTTCAGGCACAAATTTGTCTGGTTCAGGAAAATACTCAGGTAGTCGACAAGAAACCTGATTCTGAGTCACTACTACTGTCTTGGAAAAACAAAAACAGTAAATTCATTTATCTTTTATACTACCTTGTACTCTCTAACAAATACTAAAAGAGAATTAGATTTTTAAAATAGCTTCAAATGTTGTTTCAAGCTGTATTCAACGCATGTTCCTGATTTGTCTCATACGTGAAGAAATTGCTACCACTTTACATTAAAACACTTAAATACATGAGAGAATAGCTGTATTTTAACAAGCACATAAACAAGTGGATAGGAAAACAAAGAAAAGATAAATATATAAGGACAATAGTAATAAAAGAATGACAATACAATATTAAATGCTAAAAGCACTGTATATACATGAAGTGATGCCAATTAGAATATGTGCAACATAAACCATAAAATGGACCAAAATAGAATGCCTTTAGTTGCACAGTACAATTTCTTTACCCGTCATCAATTATCTTAGGACACTACTATGTCGTATTAGTACTTTTTTAATGGAGAGTAAAAATCTAGTTTAGCGAGGCCAGCAAACACTTGACAGATCGTCATCTGACAAAGACCTATGTCAGGGACATGGACTGTTTCCTAACTAGAAAAATACCAACAGAAATAATTTTTGAAACAAGAAACCTTTAAAGTTATTTACGAAAAGCTTTAATTGACAATTACTGAAATAACTTACATTTTTTGGAATTCTATATCCTCTAATGATAACATCCTCTTGAATAATCCGACCCACACCAATAGACACTGGTCGAAGCCGGTAACTTTCCTTAAACACAGCCTTCAAGTACCGAGCTTCTGCCAACACACTCGCAGTTACCTTTGCCAAGTACCAGGAAAAAAGGTTAAAAGTTTTGAAAATGATACAACTAGTACAGTATTAACTATCACTGATTTAATTATTAATAAGTTACAATACTGTATCACCAGTAGTTCAAATTAAACTATTAACAAAATCATTAAATTTAAAATAACCTAAAATTTTGATGTGCAACCAGATTTTAGGATTTCAGTACTGTGCTTTTCAAACCTGTAAAAATTTATAGTGTAATTAAAATTAATCAAATACTGTACTATTAAATTTTTACCAAAGAATTCAGTGTCAACATTTAATGAAACATCCAAAAATTAAATTAAAAATGTGATTACAGTATGTCAAAAAAAAAAAATGAGAGCTTAATTAGAAATTATTACAATCTGCTATGCCAGACTACTACAGCATGTATTCACATGCTCAACTGTTGGGATAAACATGGACTAGAGAAGCTGAAAGTAAAGGGGAGACAGAGGTAGTATGGTGAAGTAGGTGAGGCAGTGTCCAGGTTGATAGGGAACAAAGCAGTGGGAAAGGTTTGGGTTAACCCTTTGACTGTCGCAAGCCCCATTCTGAAACTGTCATTCTGTTGCAAAATTTTTGGAAAAAAAAAAAAATAATTTTTTTTTTATGAAATGATAATCTTTTCCTGATGGTAATGACACCAAAAGTACGAAATTTGGTCGAAAACTCACGGAATTACGCTCCCACGAAGTTAGCGATCTCGGAGACATATACGCATCGGCAATTTCGCCGACTTTGAGCCCTGTGTTTGGCCAATTCCGTTGTTCCAGTTGACCAAACTCATAGCTGTTTCTTTAGAACTCCATTTTTTCTATCAATTGAGTACAAGAAACCACCCATTTACCGATTTGAACTACCCAATAAAGTGGTCAGAAATTGGCAATTTGGCCAATTTCACGCAAATTAAAAAAGATGCCAATTTCAAAATAGGGTCCAGAATAAACAATGTAGACATTCTTGGCACTAAAATAACATATCCTTTGTTCATTAGTCATGTCTCTAGGCCCCTCATATTACTATTGCTATTTTGATTTTTTATTCATACAAAATACAAAATTTACTGTTATGCAGACTACTGCATTATTGTAAAAATGGTATAAATAATATTAGTGCACTAGTGAAAGAATATCAGACTCCCCAGTTGATGTGTATTGGACGTGTAGTGTGATTTGCTTACTCTTGAACATTGGTAAAAATCAAACATTTCCTGCTACTTTGAGCTCAATTTCAAGGTCGTTTTCATCGTGAAACTAATAAAAATATCTCTATTTCTGTAATATGTTTTCCATTTTATCACGTGAGACCACGAAAACGAGAATACAATGATAAATACTATACGAAACTACACCTCAAAGTCGGCGTTTTAATCCAAAAAAACGGTCAGTTTTTTTTTTTTTCATTATGCACTGCATGCTGCAGGATTTTTTTATGTGGTGCACACTAACCACACAGACCCATTCTCTCACATGTGGGCCTACCAGCTTTCTCCTGCTTGATTTGAAGCCGCTAGAATTATTGAGTATGTATATAAGTTCGAAACACTGGCTCGTAAGACGTATATATACAACCAAATCAGCCAAAGGGTTAAGACATATCAAAAGATAGTTTTGGACTGGTTAGCATCTTTATTTAATATAAGTATGAAGAGAAAAGAAGGTACCTAAAAATTAACAGACTTACTGCAACTTACTGAACTGGGAAATAAATCTGTAAGTATACTGAGTAAACTGTATGACAGAACTGTTATCAAAAGAATCTTGGGAAAGATAGACAGTAGGACTGCAGAGGAACAAGGTAGATTCATGAAAGGAAAGAGGATGTTTTGCTAAAGTGTTAGCAGTAAAGCACATAAAAAAGCAATACTTAGATTTGAAAAAAAGAATATGACAGGATAGACAGGAAAGCTATGCAGCAGATGTTGTTGGCATAGTTGGAATAATTGGCATGGTTGTCAAAAAGTCATAAATGTTTTTTTTAGGATAGCGACTCTAATTAGAGAAAAGTAGTGATCATCTGTCAAGCTTACCAGAAAATGATTAAAATACATTAAAGCATGAATAACATTAGCTTAAAACTTAATAACACATAAACAACATTCTCAGACTAAGTACTGTTTCCTCACCTGACCGCCAGATTTAGAAAGAAGTTTTCGAGCCTCAACTGCCAGAATCTCCTGTTTGTCTGGATTAGTTGCCAAATTGTGCAAAACATACGACATTGTGAAAGCGGCCTGAAATAATTTACATAATGCAAAAAAATATATAATAATCTTGTACTGTATAGTATTTTATTACATTATTCCTTTGTAAATTTATTTAATAATAACCAATGTACATGTAGTACAGTACTTCAATCCTTACCGTATCAATCCCTGCCAGTAAAGTATCACAGATGATGCCTACAATGTCCTTTTTATCAAGATCACTTTCTAAGAGAAAATGTTCCAACACAGAAAGGGGCTGCTGAGAGTCATCACTACTTGTCTTTTCTTGATTTGCAAAATGTTCCTTCATTTCCTCTTCTTTGGCCTCAATATACTTTAAAGCAATTCTGTTTAAGGCATGAGTATAAATGTAATTTATGCTGGCAAGTCTCAAAACCTACAGCATATACCCATAATGGTAATAAATTAAATACTAATACAGCACAGTAGATAAAATACAGTGCATCATTAAAATATAAAATACTGTATCAAATTTACATGACATGCAAATCCCTCTCCAACAATATCTGATCTGCAAATTTAATAATGCACTGGCAACTCCAGCACTCATCAAACATTTGTTTCTATTTAATGTCTCTTCCACATAACTCTTTACTGGATATTTTCCTTGAGGAGAAGCTTTATTCCACACAACAAAGGCAACCCATTACCCTCAACCCCCCTATTTCCAAACAAGCATTCAGAATGTATAAGATTACTCCTTGCAAATATCATGGATATTTTCAGTGCATTTCATTATTACATTTACAGAATTGTATTCATGGGAAAGTGCTGAACTGTCAGTAGGATATGTAGCACCTACAGAAAGAGGATAATCTGGTATGATCAAAAGAAATAAAGAGTGCTTTCAATTCCCTGGATAAAAGATCTTCACCAATATAGGGCACCCTTCTTTAATGTGAAAATAATATTTATTTCAAGTGTTAAACTGGTGTGAGACATTCAGTGTAAAAAAAAAAAAAAAAAAAAGTGGTGGAAACTTAATTCTTTGTCTGCTTTTCTCAGGACAAACATTCTACTCTCAAAGACAGAAAAAAATTGCTAAACGCAAAGTTATTATACTGTACAGATCATTCAAATGAGACTGAGATAGTAAATATAATACAGTAAAAGGAATATAACATGATGTACAGTATCATAATTTAATTTGGTATGCCAAATTAATAATTTTTTACTGATTATTGTATACATGTATGGTAATAAGCATAATTTGGAAATACGGTAGTGTACCTGTAGATGGTATTTTGTCCCTGAACCAGCCGTTTGTAAAGAGGTGTGTTGAAATACCGCCAAAATTGCAGCCCGTTGTCGGTGTGGATAATGCTGGAATTAGACATGTGGGCAGCCTCCATGAGATCCTTAGCCTCCCTACTTATAGTGTGTACAGATGACTTGACACAGCCCAGCTGAACATCCAGTGCAGCAACCATAGTCACTTCAGTAAGAAAATTATCTCAACTGTAATTCAAATACTTATACAACAGATAAGTTACCGTAATGCACTGGCAAAGTTTGCAACTCTGCACTCCATGTATAGTTAAGGAAATATTTTTTTTCTATGATACAGTGGGATGCTATGAGGACCTCTATTTGCCCCTCCCCTCCAAAAAAAAAAAAAATTTGTATAAATGACTACCAGAAGGAATAGAAATTGTGAATTTTTTTACAGATGTAAAAATATTGTGCAAATTAAATCAAAATTACTGTATATCTTTAAAAGATAAAATTTAATGTTGGTAAAGGCCATGTAATGGAAAACCACCACGAGACTATGTACACTACTTACACTCCAGAAAGAGTCGACATTCAAGTTCAAGGAAATCTGACACATGACCAGTCTGGGGGCACCGGATGCTCTCGATGAGGTCGACAAAGTCACAAGATACCTATGGAAAGATTAAAAACAGTCACTGTAGCCAGAGCAAGATTACACTATGTCATTGCACAGAGGCCCAGGACAAGGGGAGTTCAAAATAATTTAACCTACAGAGTAAAAATATCAGATAAGGTCTTTTATGGCAGACAATAGATCTGCAGTGCCATTTGACCAAACACACTTCCAAACCCTTGACCTAGAAAAGGAAAACAGCAGTATGCCATAGGAACCTGGCACAGCACAAGTCCACCAGTCAGAGCAAAAGGTTTCATGCTGCATTCTTCAGCATATAAGCCTACCTTTAATAATTCCTTCTTATAATAGCTAAGTATTTTTGCAGTATGGCCCACAGGGAATGGGAGCAATCTGGTCTGATGGAAGGAAGTGGAGATCAGCTCCAATTCATTGGATTAGGAGCCCTTCGTCACACCAAGTCACTCCCTTGAGGTTTTGTGAATACATACTACAGAATGCTGACAAATTATAGTTGAAATTATTATAATGGGTGAGCGCTAAAACCGTAGGGATTATACAGACTTTTATTGGGTTATCCCAGGTTCTCTACACATATACTGCTATGTATGATAATCTATGTAACTGTATTTATGTATACCTAATAAACTTACTTACTTAGCACCTGGGGGGGGGGGGAGTGGAAGGTATTCAAACTCAGTTTAGAGAACTGAAGCACAGATCCAATTCCCTAGATCAAGAGCCCCTCACCAACATCAAGGAACCTCCCTTGAAAGGTATACAATTGAAAATGAAGGAAAGAAAACAATTAATTTACTAAAAGACATAACTGACTAATATTAAGGATTAATATATACCATGTACATGTACTCTGAAGGAGGGGTGTTAATGTTGCAGTTTAAAAACTGTAGTGTAAAGCACCCTTCTGGCAAGACAGTGATGGAGTGAATGATGGTGAAAGTTTTTCTTTTTTGGGCCACCCTGCCTTGGTGGGAATCGGCCAGTGTGATAATAAATAAAATAATAATAATGTACTTGTAGAAATAAATGATTATTATTATTATTTTGATTATACATAACATTTGAACAATAGTATTTCAATATAACTAATGATAATTTGCAAATAAAGGGCTGATGAGTAATGAAAATATTGAAATGCAAATTACAAAAAAATTTTTACACAAAGAAGGTAACTAAATATTTACAAGAAGTTACAATTAGAAACGTGCAAAAACAGCTGGATACGGGGGGGGGGCCGCTTATACAGCAGGTTAAATTCCGAGCTACTGCTGTAAAGTGAAACTCAATATTAAGTGAAACACAGCCTTTTTTTCACTTTCAAATGCATATAAAAGCCTGATAACTATTGACACTATCATATATTAAGTGAGCAACAGAGAAAACAAAATGCATATACAATACACACATTTTTGTCCTTAGCTTATGAGTGATGAATATATTTATTGTAGGAAGTCTGAATAAATGAAGAATGGCTACTGTATAACTGAAAACGAAACGCTGTAAAACGAAGCACTGTAAAGTGGGGTCGCCTGTATTCATTTTGTAGTTTACACAACCAGTGGCTTTTCAGTACGTACAATAAAGCCACTGACTGGTGAAACATCCATAACATAAAGATACCCAGGTGCTGAACATGTGTCTAATTCATCAACCTGTTAATACTGTATACCATTTATCTAATCAGTCAAAAATTTATTCCCACATGATACAATGGTTGTACAGAGATGGATGACACTTGGGGATGCAGAACGCCCATGGTTATGCAGAGGATTTCAAGGCAAGCTTAAGCCTAACTTAAGACTACAATAGCAATAGTCATTATTTGCTTATATACAAGGACATTAAAATATACAAAAAAAATAGGCATTACAAAGAGAACAAACAAGACAATTATGATAGAAGAATATTCGAAGTTGCCTACTAACCTTATTAACCTCAGGTAAACGGGTGAGAACACTTTGTACACGATTTAATACCTTCTGGGCACTACGTCGAATTTCCCACCACTTTTCACCATTCCTGGTGAGAGGAAGAAATGTTTCCATTTAGCCATACTGTATGCCACTGCAGTACTTACATGGGTAGTATTTCGGTATTAGAAGTTAATGTTTAAACTAATGAGTACAGGTTAGTACTATCATGAATGTCCACTATTTGCAAAGAACTGATTAATGCTTCAAATGATGTAGTTGAAATTTTAGCAGTAAAGATCGAGAACCAAACCCTAATCACTGTGGTAGTCTACAAGCCTCCGGATGCAACATCCCAACAATTCCAGGAACAGCTGTTGAAAATTGCCCACTATCTGGGAAATCTGCCAGCTTCTGCATCCAACATCTTGCTCCTGGGGGATTTCAACTTAAGGCACTTAAAATGGAGGAATATAGCAAATAATGTTGTTGCGGTGATAACACCAGGAGGCAGCTCTGACGAGACCTCACACACACAGGAGCTTTTAAATCTCTGCACAAAATTCAATTTAAACCAGCAAATAATAGAGCCTACTAGATTGGAGAATACACTGGACCTCATCTTCACTAACAATGATGATCTGATACGAAATGTCACCATATCAAAAACAATATACTCAGATCACAACATAATCGAGGTTCAGACATGTATGCGCGGAACCCTAGACCAACAAAATGAGATTAGTCACAAGGGAGCCTTCATCAAATTCAACTTCAATAACAAGAACATAAAGTGGGACCAAGTAAACCAAGTCCTAACCGATATAAGCTGGGAAGATAGATTAAACAACACAGACCCCAACTTATGCCTAGAACATATTAACTCGGTGGCACTCGATGTACGCTCAATGCATATCCCTTTAAGAAAAAGGAGTAGATGTAAAATAGAAAGAGACAGGCGCTCCCTTTACAGGCGACGGAAAAGAATAACAGAGAGGCTAAAAGAGGCCAATATATCTGCAATGCCTAGGGAGACTGGTCAGAGAAATAGCAAACATCGAACTAAAGCTAAAGGAATCTTATAGGAGTCAGGAATCGCGAGAAGAACTGAAAGCCATAAATGAAATCGAAAGAAACCCGAAGTATTTCTTTTCTTATGCCAAATCAAAGTCGAGAACAACATCCAGTATTGGGCCCCTACTTAAACAAGATGGGTCCTACATAGATGACAGCAATGAAACGAGTGAGCTATTCAAATCCCAATATGACTCAGTTTTTAGCAAGCCGCTAACCAGACTGAGAGTCGAAGATCTAAATGAATTTTTTATGAGAGAGCCACATAATTTGGTTAACACAAGCCTATCTGATGTTATCCTGACGCCAAATGACTTCGAACAGGCGATAAATGAGATGTCCATGCACTCTGCCCCAGGGCCAAACTCATGGAACTCCGTGTTCATCAAGAACTGCAAGAAGCCCCTGTCACGTGCTTTTAACATCCTATGGAGAGGGAGCATGGACACAGGGGTCTTCCCACAGTTACTAAAAACAACAGACAGCCTCACTCCACAAAGGGGGCAGTAAAGCAATAGCAAATAACTACAGACCGATAGCGCTAACATCCCATATCATAAAAATCTTTGAAAGGGTCCTAAGAAGCAAGATCGCCACCCATCAATACACAACCCAGGGCAACATGGGTTTAGAGCAGGTCGCTCCTGTCTGCCCCAACTACTGGATCACTACGACAAGGTCCTAGATGCACTAGAAGACAAAAAGAATGCAGATGTAATATACACAAACTTTGAAAAAGCCTTCGACAAGTGTGACCATGGCGTAATAGCGCACAAAATGTGTGCTAAAGGAATAACAGGAAAAGTTGGTAGATGGATCTATAATTTCCTCACAAACATAACACAAAGAGTAAAAGTCAACAGAATAAAAGCTGAGACGGCTGCGGTGAAAAGCTCTGTTCCGCAGGGCACAGTACTCGCTCCCATCTTGTTTCTCATCCTCATATCTAACATAGACAAGGATGTCAGCCACAGCACCGTGTCTTCCTTTGCAGATGACACCTGAATCTGCATGACAGTGTCTTCCATTGTAGACACTGCAAGGCTCCAGGCAGACATCAACCAAATCTTTCAATGGGCTGCAGAAAACAATATGAAGTTCAACGATGAGAAATTTCAATTACTCCGATATGGTAAACATGAGGAAATTAAAACTTCATCAGAGTATAAAACAAATTCCAGCCACACAATAGAGCGAAAAACTAACGTCAAAAACCTGGGAGTGATTATGTCGGAGGATCTCACCTTCAAGAACCATAACATTGTACCAATCGCATCTGCTAGAAAAATGACAGGATGGATAATGATAACCTTCAAAACCAGGGATGCCAAGCCCATGATGACACTCTTCAGGTCGCTTGTTCTATCTAGGCTGGAATATTGCTGCACACTAACAGCATCTTTCAAGGCAGGTGAAATTGCTGACCTAGAAAATGTACAGAGAACCTTCACGGCGCGCATAACGGAGATAAAACACCTCAATTACTGGGAGCGCTTGAGGTTCCTGAACCTGTACTCCCTGGAACGCAGGCGGGAGAGATACATAATTATATACACCTGGAAAATCCTAGAGGGACTAGTACCAAACTTGCACACGAAAATCACTCTCTACGAAAGCAAAAGACTCGGCAGACGATGCAACATCCCCCAAATGAAAAGCAGGGGTGTCACTAGCACGTTAAGAGACAACACAATAAGTGTCAGGGGCCCAAGACTGTTCAACTGCCTCCCAGCATACATAAGGGGGATTACCAATAGATCCCTGGCTGTCTTCAAGCAGGCACTGGACAAGCACCTAAAGTCGGTACCTGACCAGCCGGGCTGTGGCTCGTACGTTGGATTGCGTGCAGCCAGCAGTAACAGCCTGGTTGATCAGGCCCTGATCCACCATGAGGCCTGGTCACAGACCGGGCCGCGGGGGCGTTGAACCCCGGAACTCTCCAGGTAAACTCCAGGTAGTGATTACAGGTCAGAACTTAATGTCCACTAGTGATTACAGGTCAGTACTAGCATGGATGTTCACTAGTAATTACAGGTCAGTACTTGCATGAATGTCCACTAGTAATTACGGGTTAGTACTTGCAGTAATGTCCAGAGGCGTCGCTAGGGTTGGTGTCACCCGGGGTGGAATCTGGTGTCCCACCCATGAAATCCAAGGGAGGGGGATAGGGGTGGTAAACTCCAATTACATCACTGCTGCATGACCAGTGACTAATGTTTAGCAATGAGAACGTTTAAAGGCCATAAACCGAACTTTATTAATGATAAAATAAATAATCGTAGTAATATTGACGAAAACTCAAATACCACTTTGAGTATAGGCAACAGATTCTACATTTATTCATCTTCAACATTGAAAAAAAAAATTTGAAAAATAAAGAAAAACACTAGTTCCGATTTAACCTTGAGTTCAGGTAACATCTCAAAGAATCTGATATTCTATTTCCTTGCCTTCAATCCTGCAAAAACATCTATCACATCATCAAAATCAATGATTTTCCCTATATAGGCCTATTTGTACTTAATCCTACAATAGGCTATATAGAAACGAAGTATTTTTCTCTTATGTTGCTGCAGCATGGTTTTGGTCATTATTGTTACCTTCTTTAGAGGCTCTATGGTGTCACCCCTTAAATGGTGTCACCTGGGGCGGCCCTTCCCCTTACGGCGCCCCTAGTAATGTCCACTAGCAATTACTGGTCTGTACTTGCACAAATGTCCACTAGTAATTACTGGTCTGTACTTACATGATTGATCACTAGTAATTACAGGTCAGTACTTACATTAATGTTCGTTAGTGATTACAGGTCAGTACTTGTATGGATGTCCACTAGTAATTACAGGTCAGTACTTGCATGAATGTCCACTAGTAATTGCAGGTCAGTACTTGCATGAATGTCCACTAGCAATTACAGGTCAGTACTTACATCATTATCCACTGTTCATTATAGGTCAATGATTCTTAAAATATCGACTAGCAATTTACTGGTTAAGTTACAAGTGTGTACTCACGTAGGCAGCAATCCACCAGTGTTATACATATGTGGATTATCAAGGCGGTATTTCTCGAGTGCCAAGTGTGACCGTCGCATTGGATAGCGACCCTCAGTGGCATACATGACCTCTATGTCCCGGGGGTCAAAGAGCAGCAGTAAGGTCACACCTTCCAGTAGTCTCTCTCGCACTATGGGTCCAAACTGCCGCAGTTTCCGCAGGCCAGTGTGGTGCAGGCGGCTGAAGGAGTACTGCCCTGAACACAATGTATTTTAATATGCATTCATCCTCAATTTTATGCCTAATGCTCATAATATAATTAAACTGAGCGGTAAACCCGAAAGAATCACACAGCTTTAAGCTTGACAGCTTGATTATGCATCACCCAGTGGTGTGGTCAGTCTTCAGAAAGTTACAAAGATAATGGGTTCAGGAATTTGGCCCATTCTGATAGCAATATACAATAATAATACTGTAAGTTGTTTATATATATATACGAGTAAGTTGAAGATTGAGACACTTATACAACATATGGGAATCTTTATTTAGGAAACGTTTCGCCACACAGTGACTTCATCAGTCCAATACAAAGCAGAAAGGTGTAAGGAGAGGAGGAGTTTGAGGTAATCAGTCCCTCAGCCTGGAATCGATGTATTCAGTCTATCAATCTTGTAGACTGATGGACTGACCACATCGACTCCAGGCTGACGGACTGATTACCTCAAACTTCTCCTCTCCTTACACCTTTCTGCTTTGTATTGGACTGATGAAGTCACTGTGTGGCGAAACATTTCCTAAATAAAGATTCCCATATGTTGTATAAGTGTCTCAATCTTCAACTTGTCGGCTTTCAAACCATTCATCACATACGAGTAAGTACAAAAGTTAATAGTATTTTACACAGACATAATTCAGTTACATAATTCAGTATGTGGCACAGCCGGGATTTCATTCTGATGGGTGGGGGGGGGGGTTAAAAAATCCTAAAATCCTGAAAAATCAAAGAAGTTGGTTTTAAAAACTTTTACTTGGGGAACATAAAAATAGGTTAGACAAATATTTCTGTTTAATGGTTGGATTTGAGAAGGCCTTTTCAGATATTTTTAGCATGTTATTTACATCCCCTAAGTCTATCCTCATACTCACAGAAAAGATTTCTGATACATGGGATCAACTTTGCCATCCTCCTTTGTATTCTGTATGTTTTCCAGGGCATTTATGTCCGTTCTGTAATATGGTGACCAGAACTGTGCAGCATAATCTAGACGAGGCCTAACTAGTTTCCTTTTTTTATTGTATTTATGAATTTTAACTACCTGAGAGTCTGATATTTGGTGTGTTACAGTTATTATAATCAAGGGGAAGCGCTAAACCCGCAGAAGTATACAGTGCCTGTGGGGGGGATGTGCAAGGTATTCAGGCTTAATTCAGGGAACTGGAGCACAGATCCAATTCCATAGATTAAGAGCCCTTCACCAACATCAAGAAACCTTCCTTGAGGGGGGGGGGCGGTTGCAAGCGTTAGTGCATGAACATGTTTCATGTACAACAGTGTGCACATGTTTCATGTACAACAGTGGCACATGTTTCATGTACAACAGTGTGCACATGTTTCATGTACAACAGTGTGCACATGTTTCATGTACAACAGTGTGCACATGTTTTAAAGTACAAGTGTGCACATGTTTTATGTACAACAGTGTGCACATGCTTCATGTACAACAGTGTGCACATGTTTTATGTACAAGTGTGCACATGTTTTATGTACAACAGTGTGCACATGTTTTATGTACAACATTGTGCACATGTTTCATGTACAACAGTGTGAACATGTTTCATGTACAACAGTGTTGGGACATGTTTCATGTACAACAGTGTGCACATGTTTCATGTAAAAACAGTTTTGGGACATTTTTTCATGTACAACAGTGTGCACATGTTTTATGTACAACAGTGTGCACATGTTTTCATGTACAAACAGTGTGGCACATGTTTCATGGACAACATTGTGCACATGTTTCATGGACAACAGTGTCACATTTTCATGGACAAAAGTTGTGCACATGGTTTCATGGTACAACAGTGTGCACGTTTCATGTACAACATTTTGCACGTTTCATGAACAACAGTGTGCACATGTTTCATGGACAACAGTGTGCAAAATGTTTCATGGACAACAGTGTGCACATGTTTCATGGGCAAACAGTGTGCACATGTTTCATGTACAACAGTGTGCACATGTTTCATGTACAACAGTGTGCACATGTTTCATGTACAACAGTGTGCACATGTTTCATGTACAACAGTGTGCACATGTTTCATGGACAAGTGTGCACATGTTTCATGTACAACTGTGCACATGTTTCATGGACAAGTGTGCACATGTTTCATGGACAAGTGTGCACATGTTTCATGTACAACTGTGCACATGTTTCATGTACAACTGTGCACATGTTTAAATGTACAACTGTGCACATTTTCATGTACAACTGTGCACATGTTCATGTACAACAGTGTGCACATTTTCTTTGGACAACAGTGTGCACATTTTTCATGGACAACATTGTGCACGTTTCATGGACAATAGTGTGCACATGTTTCATGGACAACAGTGTGCACATGTTTCATGGACAACATTGTGCACGTTTCATGGACAACAGTGTGCACATGTTTCATGGACAACATAAGAACATAAGAAGGAACAGGCCTACTGGCCCATGCGAGGCAGGTCCAAGTCTCCTACCAGCTTAAGCCAATGCACCCAACCTACTCAGGTCAGGTCACATTCACTTAAGGAAGGAACACGGCATCTGACCTAGTAGCACAAGCTAATCAGGTCCAACTCACACCCACCCACACCCACTCATGTATTTATCTAACCTATTTTTAAAACTACACAACGTTTTAGCCTCTATAACTGTACTCATCCACAATTCTATTACCAAACCAGTGCTTTCCTACATCCTTCCTGAATGTGAATTTTTCCAACTTAAAACCATTGCTGCGAGTCCTGTCTAGGCTAGATATTTTTAGCACGCTATTTACATCTCCTTTATTTATTCCTGTCTTCCATTTATACACCTCAATCATATCACCCCTAATTCTACGTCCCTTTCTAGAGAGTGCAGATTCAGGGCCCTCAGTCTATCCTCAGAGGGAAGGTTTCTGATACATGGGATCAACTTAGTCAAACCTCCTTTGTACATTTTCCAGAGCATTTATATCCATTCTGTAATACGGTACCAAAACTGTGCAGCATAATCTAAATGAGGCCTAACCAAGGATATATAGAGTTGAAGAACAACCTTGAGGACTCCTATTATTTAAAGCTTCTTGATATGAAGCCAAGGATTCTGTTAGCTTTATTGCGAACACTGATGCACTGTTGTCTTAGTTTCAGATACTGCTAACCAAAACCCTAAGTCTTTTTGCAATCCGTAATATTAAGATCGACATTATTTTGTTTGTATGTGGCATGGTTTATTGTCCTGTCCAACATTTTAGAACTTTGCATTGTCTATATTAAACTGCATCTGCCACTTCTCCGACCACTGCATCAGTCTATTCAAATCTTCCTGGAGTGCCTAAAAGTCCTCATCAAATGAATTCGACGCCTATTTTGGTGTCATCGGCAAACTTGCTTATGTCGCTCTTTATTTCCCTCATCTATGTCCCTTTATGTAGATTGTTTAACAGCAGGGGGCCCAACACTGACCCCTGTGGAACACCGCTCGTGACGCTTCCCCACTCTGATTTCTCCCCATTTATGCAAACTCTGTTGCCTATTTGTCAGCCATGCCTCTATCCAGGAAAAAATTTCTCCTCCTATTCCATGTGCCTTAATTTTCCTCAATAGTCTCTGATGTGGGACCCTGTCAAAAGCCTTACTGAAGTCCATATACACAATATCATATTCATTACCATGATCTACCTACTCGAATACCTGTGAAAAAAAGTTTATAAATTCGAAGGCAGGAGCGCCCCTTTGTAAAACCATGCTGGGATTCGTTGATTAATTTATGCTTTTCAAGGTGGCTACGAACTGCCTCGACAATTAATGATTCCATAAATTTTCCCACTATGGATTATTATTATTTTTTATTATTATAATCATGGGGAAGCGCTAAACCCGTAGGATTAATACAGCGCCTGTGGGGGGATGGAAGGTATTCAGGCTTGATCAATTCAGGGAACTGGAACACAGATCCAATTCCCTAGATCAAGAGCCCCTCACCAGCGTCAAGGAACCTCCCTTGACGCTGGAGGTTAGGCTTATTGGTCTATTGTTCGAAGCTAAGGACCTGTCACGCGCTTTGAAAATAGGCATCACATTTGCTATTTTCCACTTATCTGGCACCATACCAGTTTCTAGTGATATGTTGAAAAGATTAGCCAAAGGTTTGCTAAGCTCCTCTTTACATTCCTTTAGAACTCTTGTGTACAATTCATCAGGGTCTGGGGATTTAGGTTTTAATTCATCTATTTGCCTAAGGACCATATCACTTGTGACCCTAATGGTGCATAGTTTATTATCGTCCTGTTCTACATAATTTATTATTTCTGGAATATTGCTAGTATCTTCCTGTGTAAAAACTGAGAGAAAGTACATGTTAAAAATTCTACACATTTCCTTATCACTGTCCGCGAGCTGACCCGAGTAACTTTTGAGTGGGCCTATCTTGTCCTGATCTTACTTCTGTACACCTGAAAGAATCCTTTTGGGTTAGTCTTCGATTCTCTTGCAACTTTAACCTTATAATCTCTTTTTGCTTTTCTTATTCCATCTTTTATTTCTATCTTTAACTGAATATACTGATTTCTTAATTGCCCCTCTCATCTTTTGATTTGCCTATATATGCCTCTCTTTTGAGCAATTAGATGTTTTAATCTATTGTTCATCCATTTTGGATAATTTTTGTTTGATCTGATTTCCCTATTTGGAACATAAATTGTCTGAGCAGCTAGAACTATGCCCTGGAAAACGTCATATCGGCAATCATCACCACCTACCTGATCCACAGTTAGGTCATTCCAGTTCAGCCCACCCAAGTAATTTTTCAGCCCTATGAAATCAGCCAAGTGGAAGTCAGGGACAGAGACTTGATTGCCATTATTAGGGGAATTCCATGATATATTAAAACTGAGTAATTTGTGATCACTTTCCCCAAGCTCATCATTAACCTCAAGATTATAAATTAGCGTTTCCCTGCTGGCAAGAACCAAGTCAAGGAGGTTATTTCCTCTAGTTGGTTCTGTCACAAACTGTTTTAAAAAACAATCCTGAATCGTATCAAGAAAGTCACCTTACTCTAAATTTCCTGTCAAATGGCTCCAGTCAATCTGTCATGGACAATAGTGTGCACATGTTTCATGGACAACAGTGTGCACGTTTCATGGACAACAGTGTGCACATGTTACATGTACAACAGTGTGTACATGTTACATGTACAACAGTGTGCACAAGTTTCATGGACAACAGTGTGCACATGTTTCATGGACAACAATGTACAGTCTTTGGCGCTGTCTTAATTTTCCTAGTGTTACTGCATAAATATTTTCATTAGACTAAGTTCAGTTTCAGTTGCTGGCTCTTTTCAAGGTTGTCAGGCAACATCTCCTGGGACCTTTTTGAGTGTTTTAATATACAGGAGCTAAACTTTTTGACTGTTGAGCTAAATCTTCTGGGATGCTTCTCTAGTTCCTGGACCTTTTTGGAGTTGAGCTATAGCTCCTAGATCTTATGAGGGAGTTTGAATGCTGGTCCCTTGTCATTTGAGGATTTGATGATTAACTACAGTACTAAGAAGCCTCTTGCGTGCAGTGAGGTACCGGAGACTTCAGTTGTGGGCCACGAGGGCCCCTTTTTATGGTTCCCTCAGCGACCGAAATTCGTCAAATTTATATAACACAATACAAATCATGTTTATTTACTTTGAAACATGTAAACGTGTACAGATAATGGAATGCACATTGAAAATACACGTAGAGATGACGACAGTGTATTTCTCAGCTCTCCCATACACAATCTCCAGATGATAAAGTCGGCGGATAGTACTCACCTATGAGTGGAAAGTAATGGTATAAGGTTCCGACCAGTGGCAGGGAGCGGGGTCCTGGGATTTCCTCGAAGGGCCGTACCTCTCCCTGTGACCCTGACAGAGAAGAGTGGGCCATCACACAGCTATTAGATGTACCTGCCATTGAACACCGGCCATACATACTGACAACCTTCTAGCACCAGATAACCACGCAGTAATCATTATGTGTCGCTCCTTCTCAACTTTTCTATTCGATAAGTCAGGATATATCCTTTGCATAAACAAAATTGTTCTGCGAACTGTTGAAACACTGACACTTTTATTTTCAATTATATATTTATTGTTTTAATATCTTTATTTACCCTTTTACCAAACAAAACTTCACAAGTAATACGCTTATCTGAAGTGAGTTTGGTAGCACTTTTAAAGCAGACAACTACACATCCTTGTCTCCGGGACACTTGTGAGGGTGAACTAAGGTAACGCTGTGACCTCCGGATGGCAGCATCAACCACAGTTGGTATTCCATTTTTGCCACCTGGACGCCTAGTTTATGCATTTATGGCAAACAGTCTTTTTTAGTACTGTAACTTGCTTTCTAATAATATCGATGACCAGTCTCTCTACCAGTTATGTGTACTTATCATTTGACTATCACTCACAGCTAAATGGTGCATAAGAAACTTAGGGTTGGTATGGTAGTATGGTGATACCAAGTCGTAAGTAATAAGGCCTGTGAAACGTTTCGCCACGAGTGTGTTCAGTCCTTCAGACTGAAGAAACCCATCGAGGAGAAATGCTTCCTTAATAAAAGTCAGTCACTGCATGTGTATCTTTTACGTTTAATAAAACTATCACACTAAACATGTTCATATAGTTAGCAGTAGTGGATTATTATAATCAAGGGGGAAGCGCTAAACCCGGAGGATTATACAGCACCTGGGGGGGGGGATGTGGAAGGCATTCAGGCTTAATTCGGGGAACTGGAGCACAGATCCAATTCCCTAAATCAAGAGCCCCTCACCAACATCAAGGAACCTTCCTTGAGGGGTAGCAGTAGTGGAACACATGGAATATTGGGATGATAGTTGTGGCAACCTTTACTGTGTGGAGGATATAACTATGATTAATTATGGCATGTCCCTGGAACTAGAGCTGGTAAACAAGACTTCTGCAGGAGTGAAGTTCATGAATTTCTCTTCATCCCAAGGAATTTAACTAATACCATCGAACAAAATAAGGAACTGTGTGCACTGGCAGCTACCATTGTTCATATTATAAACGATTTATATAATAAAAAGTTTTCAGTAGAACTGACCCGTACTTCCCTCCCTGTATAGATGATCAAACTAAATGTAAATTATGTGCTTAATTGTCCACTTATTGAGGAATACAGAGACAGACTGTATAGTAACCTATGTGACATGTCAAGATATCTTATTAATGAAAATAAGATACCAGATATACTAAGCAAATTTCCTAAATTTGCTTGTAACAGATAAGTGAACTATAGATATGTAGATATAAATCCATATGTATTCCTGTTAACCCTTTGGGGCCTAGTTCCTAGGCCTTTTGTGTATCCATATGCTCTCGCGCTACCGTCCACAGGATGGATATGGGGTGCACAATAAACTAGCCACTTCGGTGGCAAAATCTAAATCTGTATAACAACATCCAATTTACTTATTATTTACCTCGTCTCTCCCCAGACGACCTTGTTACAGTGAGTGTTGCTTTATAAAGGTCAGTCCTGAACAAAACTTAATAAAACTTTCCCTATAAATAATGTTTCTCATTACATGTCTACTAACATCGTCGTCTAACAATTATTCGTTGGTTATGAAAGCGCTTTTAGAATAAAGACACTGGTAGCACAGGATCCTCTTAATGCAACATTTTGCTTAAGACTGGTTGGTCTTTAACAAGTACATGATAAAACCCAGTCTTTGGCGAAACATTGTATTATATTATTATTATTATTATTATTATTGTTTTATTATTATTATTATTATTATTATTATATTATTATTTATTATTATTATTATTTTATTGTTATTATTATTATTATTATTATTTTATTATTATTATTATTATTATTATTATTATTATTATTATTATTTTTATTATTATTATTATTATTGTTTATTATTATTATTATTATTATTTTTATTTTATTATTATTATTATTTTTTATTATTATTATTATTTTATTATTATTATTATTATTATTATTATATTATTATTTTTATTATTATTATTATTATTATTATATTTTTTTATTGTTATTATTATTATTATTATTATTGGTTTATTATTGTTGTTATTATTATTATTATTTATTGATTATGGATTATTATTATTATATTATTGTATATTTTTTTTATTATTATTTTTATTATTATTATTTTTTTATTATTATTATTATTATTTTTATTATTATTCTATTATTATTTTATTATTATTATTATTAATTATTATTTTATTATTATAATTATTGTTATTATTATTTTATTATTATTCTAATTATTGTTTTATTATTTTATTATTATTATTATTATTATTATTATTATTATTATTGTTATTATTATTATATTATTTATTATTATTATTATTATTATTAGTTATTATTATTATTATTATTGTTATTATTATTATTATTATTATTATTATTATTATTATCAAATAAAGTGCTAAATCGACAAGGGTGGAACTTTGTATTAAAAAGATCCTCTGCTACCAGTATCTTTATTCCCACTTGTCGACTTTTGCTATTGTCTATCTACTCTTCGAGGAAGGGTGGGTCCTATAGCTGTCCTGTATGTAAAAATGTCACATTAGTTGCAATTGTGTCCTTTTACTTTACATATTGTCGGTAATTCTACCAACATTATTACAAGCTGTCCTGAAGCTGGGTTGGTCGCTCACTCACTGATGTTCGTGGTTCGATCCCCGGCATGGGTAGAAACATTGGGGTTTGTTTCCTTAAGACACCTGCTGTCCCTGTTACCTAGCAGTAAATAAGTACCTGGGTGATAGCCGACTGGTGTGGGTTGCATTCTGGGGAACAAAATTAACCTAATTTGCCCAAAATGTACTGCATAACCAGGGGCTTTCTATATAGTATGTCACTGATTATTATTATTATTATTATTATTATTATTATTATTATTATTATTATTATTTAAAAGAATCACTAAACCTTATGTCACTGATGTCAGTTATGGTCTGACCAATAAGTTGTACTTGTAGAAATAAAGATTATTTTATTATACTATCCCAAGAAACCAGTTATAACTCATCTGTTAATAAAACAATATGCTCTTCGTGTCATTTTATTTAGAGGTTCCGTCCGCCAGGGACTTAATTATCATTTAATAAAGTCCCTGGTGGTCGAAACTTCCTTAATAAATTGCCATGAACTGCATATTTTGTCTTATTAATATACGGTCATTATGATAGTATATTTACTCACGGGAATGATGGTGTTCTCCAACAATTTTGTTCCTTGTCACAAAAACTAAATCTTTCACGTCATATATTTATTACAGTAAATTTTGTTCTGATCAGCGATCCCACTTTTTCGATTCCCTAGGTAATATCAAAATAATTCCTGGATAAAACACTGACAAAACATTCAGCTGGTGCGGCCACATTGCGAAATTGATTGACACTAGTGCAGTAGTTCCCAACGTTTTAGTAGGAAAGGGCCATTTTGAAAAGCCAAATTTAAAGAAGGGCCGCATCCATTTCCCAGAAGGACCGTAGGTTGGGGGCCTCCTGCTGTAGTGTACGAGTGATCATAGTGCTAAGCCTCTTTTTACTTGAGCTGTGTTCGAGAGAAGATCTTATCATTTGACCTGTGTATGGAAAGAGACCTTCCTCCCCCCCCCAGACGTTGAAATAAAAACGCAGTCCAGTGAGGTTGCCCAAGACGTCAAGCAGAACAATGGAAGTGTGGTCACCACCTTTCACTTGCTAGCATATTTGTTCACTCACTCTCTCATAGTTCACTCACTCTCTCATACTATAATTTAAGACCATGAAATAGTAAAACAAAATACATCTGATCTCAGGCTGAGCCGAGGGGGTGTTGACCCCCGAAACTCTCTCCAGGTAAACTCCAGGTAATTAAGATTTGTTACTGCTTTCAAATGCCAACAAAGGCAAGATGACTACCTGGAGTTTACCTGGAGAGAGTTCCAAATTCTCTTTTCAGATTATTAAATAAAGCAAGTATGTTTTCGATCATCAACCGTGTAGTAACCAGTTTAACCTAACTATACCGAAAAATATAAATACCATGGATGGAATAATACACATATAACCCACATTTAGGGGCAGGAAAACATGACGTTCCGGTCCGACTTAGACCACTGACAAGTCACACTAGCAGCACACTGCTGATGTATGTTAAATAAATTACAAAAAAAAAAAAAAAACTTAGCAGCGAGTACCACCAAACCTCCTGTCAAGATCTGTACCTAAATAAAACCTTCACAATAATATGAGGCCGCCAGACACACTACACGCCACTGTCTTCCCTTGGAGGGCGTTCCTAGAGGTCAGGACAATCAGATGTGCCTGTCTCCAGAATAAACTTCCCTTCAGGGGCCATGCAGAAGTACCACAATTTCTTGTGGCTATTCTTATTTTGGGAAAACTATCAAAAAATATTCATTTTGGGGCATAAAAAACATCGATTAGTATTGAGACTTGGCCAAGCAGAGTGAACATAAATTACTACATTCATAGGGGAGCTAAACCTGTAGGGGTCATATAGCGCCTGGGGATGTGAAAGGGATTCAGGTTCGATCCAAGGAAGGGGAGGACAAGTCCAAGTCCTTGGACCAAGAGCCCCTCACCGGCATCAGACAACCTACCTGGCTTGGGAAGGTGGAGAATGTCAAGAATTGAATATAAACAATGTTAAGCAAGATAAGATTCGTCAGGAAACAAAAGTGTTTCCTGACGCGGGTCTTAGTTATATGATGACCTACTAATGGAACCTTCCACTGGTTTACCGGTCCACCCCTGAAAATATTAAGGTTATAATTATACACATTTGTTAATATTTATATGTAAACAAGGGCACCTCAGTGCCATATATACGGCCACGGTCCAGTGTCTTACAATGGAAATAAATCACTGTCGTGACTTTTTTGGGCAATCCTAGGTAATCTACACATGTGGTGCTATGTATGATAATTTATGTAATTGTATTTGTGTACCACACCTGAATAAACTTACGTTAAGTTTCTTACACTAGTATAACAAAAAATATATATATCCGTGGCAAAACCAACCTAGTATTATACATTTTTGGAATAAATTATCGTCGCACACTAAAGGACAGGAAATAAGTCACATTGTTTGACTGCTGGGTTATTCGAGGTTAAATCCTCATAACATCTTTTATATGTAACCATAATAAATGTGGTTTAAGACCATTATGAAAATAAAATATGTACCCAAAGCCTAAATAAAACTTACTATTGAGTCCCTGGTTCATCATCCTTCATAATCTGCACCAGCTGGATCATAGAGGAAGATGTCAAATTTAAGGACACAAGTGCAAATAATGTGACATTTTATTGTGGCAACGTTTCGCTCTCCAGGAACTTGGAGAGTTTACCTGGAGTTTACCTGGAGAGAGTTCCGGGGGTCAACGCCCCCGCGAAACGTTGCCACAATAAAATGTCACATTAGTTGCACTTGTGTCCTTACATACTGTCGGTAATTCTACCAACATTAATACATAGAGGAAGATGTCTTCACGTCCTGCGGGAGTCTGCACACTGCCAGGTCGAAGACCATTATCTGTCCTTGAGAACAGCACATATTACACTGAAGGAAAACTAAGCAGCTGTTGGTAAAGATCAAGCAGGTGAGAAGAGCTTGACGGTGGCGAAGTGCAGAAGCCAAGTTTCAAGACGAAGACTTCTTATTTCTGTTTTAAAAAGGGGTATATACACAGAAAATTTGTCTGGACTGCCTCCAAGTGAGTCGCCTACCCTGGCAAGCTCTGTTGACACCGAGCTCTGAGGTCGGTACCTCAGCCTCACAAGTGGCTTATAGGACAGATTTTCATAAATGACTGATGTTGCAAGAAATCTCGCCTGCATGCACGTTTAAAGGACTAACTTACTTGGTGATGTAGAAGCTATTCTGGTCTTCAACCTCCCTAAGCTTAGCCCCTTGGACTTCCCCTCAGAAACCACGTGCAACCAGGAGCCTTAATTCCTGCAATATTCAGTCGATATTAGTGACCTTCCTGCACCTCAGAAATTCCTATTTCCAAGGGGGGGGGTGTATCCCCTAGTATAGCTATGCAGGAACAGACACTAGCTTCTAAGTTGACAAGAGACAAAGTACGTACTGGTCATGAACTGCCAGCTGCACAAAGGCCTACAGTTCAACTCACTCGCAACTTTCCCCAGACACTGGCCAGAATCCTAAGAAAAAGTGGAGGTCTTGTCTTACAGTATGGGCCTGACGGAGGAGGTCATCTACGGTACATCGAGGTGCCTCCGCCAGATTTCCCCAGGTCTCATATGTGAAGACACGTGGGGGCGCTGCCTGCTGATCACGGCACGTGTTGTTCAGTTGGTGTCTGGTCTTAGAAGGAAGATCTGGCGTCTTCGAGACCCGCGCCTCGTCGTTCAAACTTGGGCTGCCAGTTCTCCCTAGCTAACTTAACCTAGTGTTTGCCTACATTTGGCCTATTACTACCTATGTTAAGGTCTTAGGTCTACATTATTATTATCTACAGTTGCCTCAATAATCCTAATATTAGTGTACTAACAGTATAAACTACCTACTTCTTCCCTGAAGGGTAAATCTATCAATTAAGAAGTACCTTCCATCCACCTTCTCCAACCCGGGTGAGTGTGTTTGTGTTTTGGGTGGGTGTAAGGGCCCTTGAACGGTGTGTTTTTCCCCGTTGGGACTTCTCGGACCGAATAAGTTCCAACATACACTGAGAGGTGTATATATCAGTGTATATACACCGATAGGTATATATATCACTATATACACCGATAGGTGTATATGTCACTATACACCGAATTTAGTTTAATTATTAGTTTAGTGTTTAAAGTATTCCTGACTAGTGTATATACATTGAGAAACAGTCCTTACCCGTATATATATATATTCGAGACACTGACATTCAATGGTATCATATAAGAATACCAATATAGATGATAAAGACATAAGCAGCAGTTGGAAGCTATTTATTGGATGTGATAAGACATACAGTGAAGGCGTAATCTTGGATTAAATAAAGCTTCCAGTTGCTGCTTGTCTCTTCAGCTACAATCTTGGAGCAAGTTATGCTGATAATATAAAGTAAACGCTAAACCCAAAGGGTCACACAGCGCTGCAACAAGAGTGTGCTCAGTGACCATTACCTCACCCTAGTCAAGGAGGATGTTGGGATGCTAGTGAAGGACTCTTAATTGAGAAATTGGAGCTACCCTCCCTTTCCTTGCCTTAAACTTAACCCCCTATTCTCCAGGAGCTGTATGATCCATGGAAGTTAGATCTTTCCCATGAATGTAACATGTAATGGAAATAAGTTGCTTTGACTTTTTGGGGTTATCCTAGGTAATTTACACATGTTATCTTTCTATGTAAGACAATTATATCGCCTAAAACTTGTATAAATGTGTTTATGTGTTATTGTACCTAAATATCCTAAATACATAGATCACGAGGTCTTTAGCTGTTTACAAAGGAATTAATTGTTTGTTGTACTACCGATCTGTATAACAATGTATTCTAATTTTTGTTAATGCTTCTGTTTAGGATATTTGTATAAAGAAGAAAAAGGCACAATACACAAATAACTCGCACACAAGAGTGCGGCTTGTAATGGTCTAAGTCGGACCGAAACGTCGTCATAAGCTATGTGCAGGTTATTTGTGTACTGATATTTGGATGTTAAGGTGAGATTAAATTGGGAAAGTTGAATAAACGTGAATGAAAGTAAAATCCGCGAAAGATTCGGAAGACAAACGACCACAACTATTTACAACTTACATAATAGAGCAAATATGATTTAGATTTTATCCAAATTTATCAATATAACGTTGAAAACCTTTAGCAAACAAGTCAGCATAATACTTTTTCGTTAATTTTAAGATTTTTTAAAAAATAATTTAAATTTCTTTTTCTTTTTTTAATCATATTAAAATATTTTCCTCGCACTATCTTTAATATATAACCAGTTGTTAATATTGTATAGGTTGTCAATTTGTTACTTATTGATTGTGGTCCTGGAAGGTGAAATAAGTTAGTCTTTATTAATGTTGAACGTTGTCCATTTATATATTTTGCTGATAATCCCAAAATAAGGCACTTAGCAGACAAGGTAAGTCAGTCTAAAATAACGCTTTGATAATAAATTAGCCACCATTTATTTACACATTACGTTGTTGGTTTGGATATCTTAAAACCATTGTTGTATGACTCATTAATTTTAGTGCTTAGATGTGAATATAATAATTAAGACTATTCGTTTTGATCCAAGGAATTGTACCTGTCTTTCCCATTCCGAGGTGCTCTATATCCTCTCCCCCTCAAGCACTGAGGGGCTTACGATCCACCCCTTTCTCATGTAGTTTAGCATGTTTAATAATAATAATAATAATAAATTTTCCCTGCCATAATAATGTAGGGCTCCTATTTAGCACTTCTCAAGAAATACTAGCTAATAGAAATTAAGACTTCTGCTTATCTGTGATGCTGATGATTATGCTTTAAATAATGAGATATTACAAACACCCCCAATGGAAATAAGTAACTGCAGCCGACTAGGTAATTTAAACATATGTTACTATGCAAGACAAGCCACTGGGGATGGAAATCATCAGCTCACGATCTTTCACATATCTCTGTGCATCATCAGGAGCTTTGTAGTGTTGCAAAACTCCCTCATGGCTTGTCTTTTGTTAAGATCACCCGTCTGCGATTGTATTACAGTATGTTACTATATACAATTGTAATCACTTAAATTGATGTAATTGTACTTGTACCTTAATACATTTACTTAAATGATACATACTAGCACACCAGTGTAGCCAAGTACAGTAAATTGCTTTTATTTTTTTTTTTTGCCCATTACATTCTGAAACAGTGTACAGTTGTTTCTAAGGCTCAACAAATAAAGTATAAACTTTAAAATCACACGAAAGTTGTGGCAACATTAAAGTTTATGGCACCATTTAAATTTTTCAATTTCAAGGTAAAATTTCACCACATAGCCACACATGGCTCATAACTCAGTGGTAACTCATTTAGCTTGTAACCAAACAGCTAGGATTTTATCCTAGAGTGGGTTTAGATGTGAGGATGTATTTCCTTGCACCGTATCACTTGATTAAAAAACACTACATTGGCAAAAACATTGTCAATAAATGGTCACATTATACTGCATCCGTCTTTTTACCACCATCTGTTGCCTCTATTCACTTAGCAGTTATTAGGTACCCGAGCAATAGTCTACTGTTTTATTTTGTATCTATCTTGGGAAAAGGGGTAAGTATTATACAGTAGTTAGGGCTGGGTTCTAAAATGAGCTAAGGTAGGATAAAACCTCTTAGCCTTTAAATTCAGCGATGTAAAAAAATTAACATAAGCTCTAAAGGTTTATATATTGTTATACTACCTTCTTGTCATATGAGTGAAAAAGAAGCTTGTTCAATGTTTTGCACCCTGCTGAGATTGCTGGTCTTTTGTATGTTACAGAAACATGCAACATGAGAGAGAGAAATCTTAGAAACTTCTGTACACCTACCTTTACTCTTGGTTATTTCTTGACAGTTTTAATTTGTGTAATGCAGTATTTTTCTTTCCAGTTTAGGAGGTCTGGTGTTACCTCCTAAATTGGAAACAATCTAGGAGGTCACACAAGCCCCAGAATAAGTAACAGATATGTTATGTTGTCTTGATGAAATGCACAAGAAAACAGCAAGATTTGTTATGATTTTTTTAATTTGGTATGTTATATACCTATATTTAAGATTAGTGAAAAGTAGTAGTCCATTATGTTAAGTACTTTCATAATTTCCTCACATTATCAATGAGAAATTATAAGAGCACTGGGAGTAATACTGCTTTTCCCTGTGGATGTATTGTATATTAAGACATCACCTGGTTCTTGTGATCTTATTGCATATGTTTAGGATTAGTTATGAGTGCAGTTTATATGCTTGTAGAAATATTGTGGTAAGAGTATAGTACTTATTATGTAGGTGTACCATACAGTACATTACTATATTTATAATACAATATTTTTAATATGAACCCCTCAGGAAGGTTCCTTGATGCTGGTGAGGGGCTCTTGATCTAGGGAATTGGATCTGTGCTCTGGTTCCCTGAATTGAGCCTGAATACCTTCCATCCCCCCAGACATGCACTGTATAATCTTATGGGTTTAGTGCTCCCCCATGATTATTATTATAATAATTTTAATATATTTTTTTTTTTTATTATCACACTGGCCGATTCCCACCAAGGCAGGGTGGCCCGAAAAAGAAAAACTTTCACCATCATTCACTCCATCACTGTCTTGCCAGAAGGGTGCTTTACACCACAGTTTTTAGACTGCAACATTAACACCCCTCCTTCAGAGTGCAGGCACTGTACTTCCCATCTCCAGGACTCAAGTCCAGCCTGCCGGTTTCCCTGAACCCCTTCATAAATGTTACTTTGCTCACACTCCAACAGCAAGTCAAGTATTAAAAACCATTTGTCTCCATTCACTCCTATCAAACACGCTCACGCATGCCTGCTGGAAGTCCAAGCCCCTCGCACACAAAACCTCCTTTACCCCCTCCCTCCAACCTTTCCTAGGCCGACCCCTACCCCGCCTTCCTTCCATTACAGACTGATACACTTGAAGTTATTCTGTTTCGCTCCATTCTCTCCACATGTCTGAACCACCTCAACAACCCTTCCTCAGCCCTCTGGACAACAGTTTTGGTAATCCCGCACCTCCTTCTAACTTCCAAACTACGAATTCTCTGCATTATATTCACACCACACATTGCTCTCAGACATGACATCTCCACTGCCTCTAACCAGGAGGCAGTTTGTTACAGGTTAATTTACATGGCAGTTGGGTAGCAGAAAGTATACAGATTAGGTTAGGTTACATAAGCCTGTAAAATGCATATTTAGCTTCAAATTGAAGAAAAAGCAGATGTAATGCATCTGGAAATGCTGTTCAATATCTACTTGCATTTGGGCGCCAGAGGCTGTTGCGCAAATTACCATAGCCTAAAATATATGTACTGTATTACTTACATTATTGTACTATGTGAGATTAGTTTAAACACAAATAAATACAAAACAAATTAATAAATTCTACATATACAGTATAAAAAATAAGTTTATTTATACAGGTTATCTAATATAATTTAAATATAATGTAGAAGTAAGGTAGACAAGGAATTCTCACTTTTACAAATTTTTATTAATTTTGATGTTATACGTATCTATTCTATTTGTAAAATTGAAAACAGGAATTTAGTATATAAAGAAAATATAAACTTTACATACAGTACTGTATAAAGGCAAATAAGAGTATACTGTAAATACTTAAAACAAGGTGAGCTAATTTTCTAGTTAAAAATAAAGTCCTTAGGAATTATAACATTAATAGTTAACTGTGGTTTAGATTATTTTAGCAAGGATATTGCTGATAGATGAGCTGGAAGCCTTGTCCTGTGAACCAGCCATCACTGGTGAACTGAACAATGAAGGGACCACGTGTTTTATCTGAAAGAAAAAAATTCATTAATACAATAAATCCTATTTGATTTAATGGACTAACGGGGAAGGGGTGAAGTGGGTGGCTAATAACAGTGATTTTGGTTGAGATGAAATTGTTTTGCAGTGATCATAACAGTAATACGCAATTTCTGTAACCGAAGGACTTTGTTCATTGTTTCCAAATCAAATGACCCAGTAGATTTTGTCCTGCATTTCCGAAGTCTTTTAAATCAAGGTTAAGAAGTGCTTACTGTTAGCATAGAGTATAAAGCTACTGTTATTAAGAGCCTATCTCAAGTAGTAATTCTGAAGATTGTACAAGCAATTCAAGAAAGAATATGTATACAGTGTAAATCACACAATTATGTCCTTGTTTGTGACTATTACTGACTATTGGTTATAGCAAAACCCAGTACCTCAGGCTTGCAACAGAAGTTATAATATCACTGACAATTTTATGATCCAAGATGGTGATTATATCAGAACTCAGGACTACAGGTACTATTTTTTAAATATTTTCTTATACAGCACCCAAACTCAATGGGTGGAAGCATTGACACTTAAAGAAACTTTAAAAAATAAAAAAAATTAACTGCTCATTCATATTAGTATAGTTGACACTTGTGTATACTATAATAGAAAAATTATGTAGATCTGAAAAATGGACACTAATACAGAGTATTCTTGTTTTACCATAAGATCACTGTACTGTTCTTTGGCATGTGAAATACTGTACTATCAATTCAGATTGGGGAATTAGCTAGAATAAAGCATTAGATAAAGAAAAGTTAACATGATATTGTATTTTTGGCTTATTACAGTACAGCCTCTCCTCACTTAGTGACGAATTCGTTTACTGGCGTGGTCTTATGAGCAGAACTCTGTCATTAAGTGAGGAGAGGCTGTACTGTAATCAAGACTGTTTAATAATAAGTAACAATGCCTGCACCTGTAATAGGGCCATTATTAGTGGGTTGTGGGTTGGAGCCATCATTGAGACGTTCTCCACACAGTCTGGTGCCAGCCATGATGAGGTAATCATCAGGGCACTGGATGAGACCAAGTCCTGCTTCACCACTGGGGATTACAGAGGTTGCCACACCACCTGCATGGTGCAAGAAGAGAAGAAAATATCAGTGTTTGTAGATGACAAGGAGTACATAGTTGAATGTACAGGTGCACTACAGGGGGAAGTGGGTAATTTGAGGGAAGATAACACTTTTTAGTTTTTATTAATAGGCATCTGTATTAATGACAGCAGCATTTTAACACACAGAAAGTAAACATGTACAAACCAAAATACATATGAATAGAGGGGCTCTTGCAGCAGGCCTGTTGGCTCATGTAAGACATTTCCTGCTCAGACTCACCCATTCAATTCATATATCTGACCTATGATGTAGGTATGGTATGATAGGTCTCAATAGGCCAGAAAACCGTAATGGCAATCAGTAAAGCTATAAAAGTGGGGTCAAGAGTCAAGACTTGAACCATAAACCTGCTAAATATTAATTCCATACATACTTATTATTCTTCACTCCACATCTTTAAAATACTGCACTCTAATAAAGACATTAATGCATTACACTGCATTTTTGTCTTATACATCATGTTGGTATTTTATACCATTTTTCTCCAATGCACTGTAATGCCGATGGTGATCTAAAACACTTTTTGGAAAACCATAATACAACATGGGCATCTCACTCGAAACAAATAACTATTTGATGGTCAATGAGTTCAGCTGAACCTCAACAGAAACTCAATGCGAATTAAATTATCAAAAATGTGGAATAGCTTACCAGAAGACTTAAAAAAGCTAATAAAAGCTTCATGTGCTTAATTAGTCCAATTATATTTATACCCTGTATCTTCCTAAAACAAATATTTTTTGCACAGTACTTTAAAACTATCATTCAATTCTTTTTAACTTGTTAATGACAATTTTACTGAATGATGTTGTAATCTGAAACTAATCTTATACTGCGCTGTATTTTCAAAAAGTACCATTCACCCTTTTCAGACTTGTCAGTAATTTTTATTGCATCGAATAGTCTTGTAATTCGTATTTTTGTTACGTCCTTTTTAATTTCTTGTCAGTATCTTATACTAAACTCACAAGCATAAAGAACTCTACGTCTATGTAGACTTTTTAGATTTAAATACAATTAGTCCTAGTCTAACTTAACCTGAATTGTGCCTACTGTGGGCCTCTCAAATTATTTTATTGATGTACAGTATAATGTTTTGAAAAAATGCAAGAAAATTGCTAAGTACACTATATATGTATGAACAAAAAAAAAAAAAAAAGCATGGAAGACAGAGTTACAGATGCTGTACTTACTAGAATCAATGTGAAAGTTAACAATTTCAAAGACTCTGTTTTTGGTATAATTTCCTGAAGGAATTGTTTGGTAGACAACAGAACAGAATCCAGCTTCCTTCCTGATGCACATAGCATAATTTAGATTGTTCTGAAAAATAAATGCTTTAATAAGCTATTAGCAAATATTCGTAAAAGCAGCATTTGTAAGGATTTACCAGTCTTGTAATACAGTGGAACCTCGGTACTCGAACGTAATTCATTCCAGAAGGCTGTTGAGTGCTAATCTCTTTGAGTCTTGAACAAATTCTTTCCAACCAATTTTCTTTTTGGTTGGCTGTTATCACTAATATTCATTGGTCCCATGGTGACTTATTTATGCAAATATAAAAAACACCAAAAATGCAAAGAAACACAAAATAGTTTACAGTGAAGTTCTGGCAGGTCGTGTTTGTTTGGCCGAGTGCTGTGCTTTGTTCAAGTAGGGAGCTGTTCGAGTACCAAGGTCCCACTGTATGGTCACAGAAAGGCAAACAATGGTTTCATTATCTCTATTATTATCATTATATTATCATTATAGGGGAGCACTAAATTCATAGGGATTATACTCATTACCTCTATAAATTAGCCCACCACCTCTTCTGCATCACTGCTCCACACTCTTGCTTTTTATTATATTATTCATTGTTTCCATAGAATATAATACAATATATGTAGTGAGTGTTTATTGCATTCCTCCTTTTGATTCTTTAAAAGTTTCTTCTATATTTTTCAGTGGTTCAGCTTACAATGCATTGTACAGCTCCATCCTTTTAATTTAGTACAGTATAGTACTCTATTTCACTTTGATTAGAAAACTATCTTCATTTGTAGTATGTTGTTATACTCTCTTTGAGGAGCTTTACACGAAACAATATTTATGTATTTGCAGAAGCTATAGTAATAGTTTTTCATGGAAAAACAATTTTTTTTTCATAAATTTATTCTGTATAGTTGTTAGGTTAGTTTAAAAATTTACAGCTACTGTATGCATGGAAAAGTCTACTTAGCCTGTTGGTTTTAAATAGTCAGGAACTTAAAACGAGCAAATAATATCTTAAAAAGTTGTTGGAAACAATGAGAAATAAGCATCAGATAATACTGTATTAGTTTTTCTATGTGGGTGTTAGATAATACACACTAGGTACTTAGAATCTCTGTCAGCAACATAGTTGAAAGAGGTCAAGGTGCCCTGTGCTCCAGTGAAGTATTGTAAGCAGTTGGCTGGTGGACGATATGGGCTGCTACACTCAATCTGTAGTATCAGATAAAATAAAAAATATTTTCATTAATGTACCATAAATAGTGCTTGGATCACTATCTATTTAATTAAATCATTTCCCACCTAGGCAGGGTGATCCCGAAAACAATAGTCACCATAACTCATCCTTAGTTACCTTTCCGAAAGGGCGTCGATGTCATGGTCCAGTGTTGACCCACCAAACCAAAATCTCCCCACCCCCATTGTCAGAGTGCAGGCATCATGTTTCCCAACTTCAAAACTCAAATCTGACTAACCAGTTTTTCCCAGAGTCTCTGTATAGGTATTACCTAGCTTCCATTCCACTAGCTTGTCAAATCCTACAGACAAGTCATCTCTACTCCAATAGGTAACCTGAAAGGCCAAGCCCTGCCTCTCCTCATTATTTTCATACTTTTCTCCAGCTTTTTTTCATGTGCTCCCTACACCTTGCATCCATTCCAATTTTATGCACATTATTTTAGCTACAGTGGAACCTCAGTTTTCGTACGCCCTAGTTTTCATAGAATTTGGTATTCGATGGCTTTTTCTATTGAAATTTTGTACCAGTTTTTATACATCACCTCGGTTTTTGTAGAGTTGACAATGGTCTGTACTGAACGCATCCGCCTGCCCACCCGTGTCACTCAGCCACTCAAGTGCCAAGTGACTCAGTCTGCCTTTGTTTATTGTTGAGTGAGCATCACCCCAAGCGGGAGATAGTGTTTTGGAGTCGATAATTTGTGAAATGGCACGGCAGTTGATGGGCTGAGGCTGACCCTGACGACCCTACGCCTGTTGTGGAATCTATTATGTCTTTGGGGGAAGTCCATGGGGTTGGATGTGAGTGGCCAGGATGTGGAAGAGTTGGTGGACGACCACAGGGAAGAGCTAACCACTGAAGAGCTGCAACACCTTCAACTGGAACAGCAACAGATTGCAGCTGAGGAAATTGCTTCAGAGGAGGAGGAAGAGGCGAGAATGTGCCTTCTTCAGTGATTAAGGACATGTGTGCAAAGTGAAGTGAGTTGCAAAGTTTTGTGGAGAAATATCACCCTAACAAAGCTGTTGCAAGCCGTGTCTGCAACATTTTAGGCATATCTTAAAGAGATGCCAGAAACAGACCTCTCTGGACAGATTTTTTTGTGTGACAGGGGTCCTAGTGCCAGTAAAAGACAAAGAAGGGAAGTAACCCCAGACAGAGCCTTGATACCTGAAGTCCTTATGGAAGGAAATTCCCCTTCCAAACAATAACCTCTCCTCCCTCTCCCCTCCTTGCTGTCCTCCATATGCCAACAAGAGTCTTCCTTAGGGGTAAAAGTGATGTTAAATGTTCATTTATCCATTTCATTAGTCATTTATATTTATTTCTCATTGTTTTCTGTATGTAAAACTATAGTTATTCTCTGTAAAATGTATTTTTTGTTAATATTTTTGGGTGTCTGGAATGGATTAATTGGATTTACATTATTTCTTATGGGAAATATTGCTTCAGTTTTTGTACAATTCGGTTTTCATCAGATTTTCTGGAACGAATTAATCACGAAAACCGAGGTTCCACTGTATCTTATTTTGTTCATACTCCATACATAAACAAGCCACTTTCGTTGTCTGAATTATAACTTTTATACTACCACACCAATTTCTATTTTTTTTTTTCATTCATTTTCTCTGCATAATATGTATACATGTTAATCTTAGACAAGACATTGCTATTGCTTCCTCCTTAGTGCAAAATTCAAAGACAATACTTCATATTCATATAAGAGTGCTGGTACTACTGCATACAGTACATTTCTGCATTCTGATAGTTCTAGTTTTGAATCCGTTAATAAATTTTTGTTTCCTATAAATACTTCTGGAACTGTTACTCCCTTTTGTATTTTATGATACTCTATATAACTACGTTTGTATGGATATTTACCTGAGACACTTTGATTTCCCATTGTCTGTCCAGTCCTTTCCCTACAGTTGTAATACTGAGCTCCACAGGGCCATCAACAGTGTCCACGTCGACATACACTGCCAAAACATTGTATACATACAAATTTTTGTTTTAATATGACATTATTTACTGTATAGTGAAACCTTAATTTAATGAACTAATAAGGAAAGGGTGTCTGGTAATTCCAATTGTTTGTTAAATCCAAATATGTAATGTGATTGATTTTACTATGATTGCAACAATAATGGAGTAATACTGAACTTTGTCCAGTAACCATGAAATTAATTTACCCATCAGTTTGTAAAAATAATTGACAGTTCTGGATACAACAGACTTTATTGTTCTGATTTTGTTCATTAAATCTTAAATCTGTTAAATCAAGGTCTTACAGTGTGATCTATGTACTGTATAATATTCTGACCTCTATTTGTAAATAGGTAGTTTCAATCAAGAAGGGTAACTGTTAGCAGTAAATGCACTTGCTACATCGTAGCTTCTTTTTTTTCTGCTTTGCCCAGAAGACTATTTCTATTACTATACATATTAACTTCGACATTGAACACCGCATGTACTGTACTTACAATGTTGACCAGAATTTTCACCACAAAGCTTAGGTGTAAAGGCATTAATGTTTTGCCCGGAGACAACCAGATGGTCACTTGTGCAGCTGCCATTAACTGGAGACATCAGCTGTTGGGTTACACATAATAAATAGGATGAATTGTTGGGCCAGTGATGATACAGTACATAATAGCAGCGACTGTTACCTTACAGACAATAGGTTACATCAGTTTATAAATTTCAAACACTGGCTTATATTATCTGTTTACTAAAAATAAGACATTTAGACTGATGAAATAGATTTTAATGTTCTGAGATAGTTTTCTGGGTTGTGAGTGAGGTACAACTACAATGAAAGGAATAAGACATATTTGCTTATCATTGTATCAGGAATATTAATTGTGCAGAGATAACACTTCTTAGTAACTGACTTTACCTTAGTACTTTACCTTAAACTTGATAAGATCTAGTCTTATGAAGCAAATGGAGGAAGTAATCTTTTTGATGCGAAGATTACACATTCCACCAGTGGTGACAACACTAGAGGTGCCCGACTGTGGAGACACCCAATATGTCTTGTTCCTGGTCACCTCAAAACCACATTCAGAATAATATGCTGGAAATATACCAAAATATCAGGGTTTGCTCTATGAGTAGAAGATCTTAAATTTCTTCTGTACAGTAATACAAAACTATTCTTGATGCAGATGCATCCTGAGTGAATGTTAGAAATTCAAATTGGATTTAAATTCAAATTTAAATAATTATAATGATAAAAATCTGTTACAGAACATATAGGTTTAGTGCCTAGTTTTGGTAATAATAATAATAATAATTAAGGTAGTAGGTTGGTAGACAGCAACCACCCAGGGAAGTACTACCGTCCTGCCAGATGACTGTGAAACAGAAACCTGTAACTGTTTTGCATGATGGTAGGATTGCTGGTGTCTTTTTCTGTCTCATAAACACACACCACACACACACACCACACACACACACCACACACACACACCACACACACACACCACACACACACACCACACACACACACCACACACACACACCACACACACACACCACACACACACACACACACACACACAACACACACAACACACACACACCACACACACCACACCACACACACCACACACACCACACACACACCACACACCACACCACACACACACCACACACCACACCACACACACACACCACACACACACACACAACACACACCAACCACCACACACACACACACACACCCCCACACACACACCACCACACACACCACACACACACACACACCACAACACACACACACACCACACACACCACACACACACCACACACACACACACACACACACACCACACACACACCACACACACACACCACACACACACACACACCCCACACACACACCCACACACACACACCACACACACACACACACACACACACCACACACACAACACACCACACACACACCACACACACACACACACCACACACACCACACACACACACCACACACACACCACACACACACCACCACACACACACACACACACACCACACACCACCACACACACACCACACACACACCACACACACACCACACCACACACACACACACCACACCACACACACACCACACACACACACCACACACACACACACACCACACACACACACACACCACACACACACCACCACACACACACCACACACACACCACACACACACACACACACACACACACCACACACACACACACACACTCTCTCTCTCTCTCTCATCTCTCTCTCTCTCTATATATATATATATATATATATATATATATATATATATAAACAGGCCTAGTGTCTAATCGACATGTGCCTAGGACAAAATGGTAACTAACATCTAGGTTTTTTCTCCTTTTTCTAAATAGCTCTTATTTTTCTTTATTTCTTCTACTGTCCATGGGGAAGTGGAAAAGAATCTTTCCTCCGTAAGCCATGCGTGTCGTATGAGGCGACTAAAATGCCGGGAGCAATGGGCTAGTAACCCCTTCTCCTGTAGACATTTACTAAAAAAGAGAAGAAGAAAAACTTTATAAAACTGGGATGCTTGAATGTGCGTGGATGTAGTGCGGATGAAAAGAAACAGATGACTGCTGATGTTATGAATGAAAAGAAGTTGGATGTCCTGGCCCTAAACAAAACAAAGCTGAAGGGGGTAGGGGAGTTTTGGTGGGGGGAAATAAATGGGATTAAATCTGGAGTATCTGAGAGAGTTAGAGCAAAGGAAGGGGTAGCAGTAATGTTGAAGGATCAGTTATGGAAGGAGAAAAGAGAATATGAATATGTAAATTCAAGGATTAAAGTAAAGGTTGGATGCGAAAAGTGGGTCATAATAAGCGTGTATGCACCTGGAGAAGAGAGGAATGTAGAGGAGAGAGAGAGATTTTGGGAGATGTTAAGTGAATGTATAGGAGCCTTTGAACCAAGTGAGAGAGTAATTGTGGTAGGGGACCTGAATGCTAAAGTAGGAGAAACTTTTAGAGAGGGTGTGGTAGGTAAGTTTGGGGTGCCAGGTGTAAATGATAATGGGAGCCCTTTGATTGAACTTTGTATAGAAAGGGGTTTAGTTATAGGTAATACATATTTTAAGAAAAAGAGGATAAATAAGTATACAAGATATGATGTAGGGCGAAATGACAGTAGTTTGTTGGATTATGTATTGGTAGATAAAAGACTGTTGAGTAGACTTCAGGATGTACATGTTTCTAGAGGGGCCACAGATATATCAGATCACTTTCTAGTTGTAGCTACACTGAGAGTAAAAGGTAGATGGGATACAAGGAGAATAGAAGCATCAGGGAAGAGAGAGGTGAAGGTTTATAAACTAAAAGAGGAGGCAGTTAGGGTAAGATATAAACAGCTGTTGGAGGATAGATGGGCTAATGAGAGCATAGGCAATGGGGTTGAAGAGGTGTGGGGTAGGTTTAAAAATGTAGTGTTAGAGTGTTCAGCAGAAGTTTGTGGTTGCAGAAAAGTGGGTGCAGGAGGGAAGAGGAGCGATTGGTGGAATGATGATGTAAAGAGAGTAGTAAGGGAGAAAAAGTTAGCATATGAGAAGTTTTTACAAAGTAGAAGTGATGCAAGGAGGGAAGAGTATATGGAGAAAAAGAGAGAGGTTAAGAGAGTGGTGAAGCAATGTAAAAAGAGAGCAAGTGAGAGAGTGGGTGAGATGTTATCAACAAATTTTGTTGAAAATAAGAAAAAGTTTTGGAGTGAGATTAACAAGTTAAGGAAGCCTAGAGAACAAATGGATTTGTCAGTTAAAAATAGGAGAGGAGAGTTATTAAATGGAGAGTTAGAGGTATTGGGAAGATGGAGGGAATATTTTGAGGAATTGTTAAATGTTGATGAAGTTAGGGAAGCTGTGATTTCGTGTATAGAGCAAGGAGGAATAACATCTTGTAGGAGTGAGGAAGAGCCAGTTGTGAGTGTGGGGGAAGTTCGTGAGGCAGTAGGTAAAATGAAAGGGGGTAAGGCAGCCGGGATTGATGGGATAAAGATAGAAATGTTAAAAGCAGGTGGGGATATAGTTTTGGAGTGGTTGGTGCAATTATTTAATAAATGTATGGAAGAGGGTAAGGTACCTAGGGATTGGCAGAGAGCATGCATAGTTCCTTTGTATAAAGGCAAAGGGGACAAAAGAGAGTGCAAAAATTATAGGGGGATAAGTCTGTTGAGTATACCTGGTAAAGTGTATGGTAGAGTTATTATTGAAAGAATTAAGAGTAAGATGGAAAATAGGATAGATGAACAAGGAGGCTTTAGGAAAGGTAGGGGGTGTGTGGACCAGGTGTTTACAGTGAAACATATAAGTGAACAGTATTTAGATAAGGCTAAAGAGGTCTTTGTGGCATTTATGGATTTGGAAAAGGTGTATGACAGGGTGGATAGGGGGCCATTGTGGCAGATGTTGCAGGTGTATGGTGTAGGAGGTGGGTTACTGAAAGCAGTGAAGAGTTTTTACGAGGATAGTGAGGCTCAAGTTAGAGTATGTAGGAAAGAGGGAAATTATTTCCCAGTAAAAGTAGGCCTTAGACAAGGATGTGTGATGTCACTGTGGTTGTTTAATATATTTATAGATGGGGTTGTAAGAGAAGTAAATGCGAGGGCCTTGGCAAGAGGCGTGGAGTTAAAAGATAAAGAATCACACATAAAGTGGGAGTTGTCACAGTTGCTCTTTGCTGATGACACTGTGCTCTTGGGAGATTCTGAAGAGAAGTTGCAGAGATTGGTGGATGAATTTGGTAGGGTATGCAAAAGAAGAAAATTAAAAGTGAATACAGGAAAGAGTAAGGTTATGAGGATAACAAAAAGATTAGGTGATGAAAGATTGGATATCAGATTGGAGGGAGAGAGTATGGAGGAGGTGAAATTATTCAGATATTTGGGAGTGGACGTGTCAGCGGATGGGTCTATGAAAGATGAGGTGAATCATAGAATTGATGAGGGGAAAAGGGTGAGTGGTGCACTTAGGAGTCTGTGGAGACAAAGAACTTTGTCCTTGGAGGCAAAGAGGGGAATGTATGAGAGTATAGTTTTACCAACGCTCTTATATGGGTGTGAAGCATGGGTGATGAATGTTGCAGCGAGGAGAAGGCTGGAGGCAGTGGAGATGCCATGTCTGAGGGCAATGTGTGGTGTGAATATAATGCAGAAAATTCGTAGTTTGGAAGTTAGGAGGAGGTGCGGGATTACCAAAACTGTTGTCCAGAGGGCTGAGGAAGGGTTGTTGAGGTGGTTCGGACATGTAGAGAGAATGGAGTGAAACAGAATGACTTCAAGAGTGTATCAGTCTGTAGTGGAAGGAAGGCGGGGTAGGGGTCGGCCTAGGAAAGGTTGGAGGGAGGGGGTAAAGGAGGTTTTGTGTGCGAGGGGCTTGGACTTCCAGCAGGCATGCATGAGCGTGTTTGATAGGAGTGAATGGAGACAAATGGTTTTTAATACTTGACGTGCTGTTGGAGTGTGAGCAAAGTAACATTTATGAAGGGGTTCAGGGAAACCGGCAGGCCGGACTTGAGTCCTGGAGATGGGAAGTACAGTGCCTGCACTCTGAAGGAGGGGTGTTAATGTTGCAGTTTAAAAACTGTAGTGTAAAGCACCCTTCTGGCAAGACAGTGATGGAGTGAATGATGGTGAAAGTTTTTCTTTTTCGGGCCACCCTGCCTTGGTGGGAATCGGCCAGTGTGATAATAATAATAAAAAAAAATAATAATACAGTACATTAACCCTCTTAGACCAGAGTTACAGGTCAATGATTAAACAATAAAGTATAATGTTCTTGGCAAAAGAATTTATTTACTATGAAGGTCCTTGAGGTAGCATGTAGTATATGAGCCCCTAGCAAATCTGCAAGCAGCTTTCAGGAATATTTTAAAGAATCATACAAACTGTAAATGATATTTGTCGAATGATGGAGTGGGCACCACCTGCCTCAAACCCAAGATTATAAGAAATTAGAGAAAGTTCAGAGATTTGCAGCAAGGCTGGTCCCAAGAGCTAAGAAGGATGAGAGGTTAAAAGAACTCAATCTTAGAGAGTAAAAAAAAAAAAAAAGGCATGATAGAATACAAGTTACACAGAAGACTTAAAAGGTCAGACTGCACACGCACGCACACACACACGCACGCACGCACACACGCACGCGCACACACGCACACGCACGCGCACACACGCACGCACGCACGACGCACGCACGCACGCACGCACACACGCACACACGCACACACACACGCACACACACGCACACACACACGCACACACACACCACACGCACACACACACGCACACACACACGCACACACACACGCACACACACACGCACACACACACGCACACACACAACGCACACACACACGCACACACACAGCACACACACACACACGCACACACACGCACACACACGCACACACACGCACACACACACACACACACACACACACACACACACACACACACACACACACACACACACACACACACACACACACACACACACACACTCTCCCTCACACCCTCCGAGCAGTTCAGACATTGAAGACATCACATATGAGAGGCCCCTAGGAGCTAGTAATCGTGTGGTTCTCTGCTTTGAATACATAGTAGAGTTACAAGTGGAGAGGGTAACAGGAGTTGAATGGGAAAAGCCAGACTATAAAAGGGGGGACTACACAGGTTTGAGGAACTTCCTGCAGGAGGTTCATTGGTACAGAGAACTGGTAGGAAAGTCAGTAAACTAAATGATGGAATACGTAACAACAAAATGCAAGGAGGCAGAGGAAAGGTTTGCCTCCCTGCACTGAAGGTGTAGGGAGGCAAAAACTAAGTGCACTAGAGAATGGAAAAAGTACAGAAGGCAAAAAACACAGGAAAATGAGAAGATTAGTCGAACAGCCAGAAATGAGTATGCACAGGTAAGGAGGGAGGCCCAGCGACAGTACGAAAACATAGCATCGAAAGTCAAGTCTGACCCGAAACTGCTGTATAGCCACATCAGGGGGAAGACAACAGTCAAAGACCAGGTGATCAGGCCGAGGAAAGAAAGTGGGGAACTCACAAGAAACGATCATGAGGTATGTGAGGAGCTCAACACGAGATTTAAGGAAGTATTTACAGTAGAGACAGGAAAGGCTCTGGGAAGACAGCACAGAGGGGAACACCAACAGGGAATATACCAACAAGTGTTGGATGACACACAATGGAGGAGGAGGTGCAGAAGCTGCTAAGTGACCTTGATACCTCAAAGGCGAGGGGACCGGACAACATCTTCCCGTGGGTTCTTAAAGAAGGAACAGATATGCTGCGTGTGCACCACTAACCACAATCCTCAACACATCCCTTGAAACTGGTAACTACCTGAGGTATGGAAGATGGCAAATGTAGTCCCCATTTTTAAGAAAGGAGACAGAAACGAGGCACTAAACTACATACCAGTGTCACTGACGTGTATAGTATACAAAGTCGCGGAGAAGATTATCAGGAGAGTGGTGGAGCACCTGGAACGGAACAAGATTATAAACGACAACCAGCAGGGATTCATGGAAGGTAAATCCTGTGTCACAAACCTTCTGGAGTTTTATGACAAGGTAACAGAAGTAAGACACGAAAGAGAGGGGTGGGTTGATTGCATTTTCCTGGACTGTAGGAAGGCCTTTGACACAGTTCCTCACATGAGATTAGTGCAGAAGCTGGAGGATCAGGCGCATATAACAGGAAGGGCACTGCAATGGATCAGAGAATACATGACAAAAGACAACGCAGAGTCATGGTACATGATGAGGTGTCGCAGTGGGTGCCTATGACGAGCGGGGTCCCACAGGGGTCAGTCCTAGGACCAGTGCTATTTTTGGTATATGTGAATGATATGATGGAAGGGACAGACTCAAAAGTGTCCTTGTTTGCAGATGATGTGAAGTTAATGAGAAGTAAATCAGATGAGGATCAGCAGGACTACAAAGCGACCTGGACAGGAAGCCAGCAACTGGCTTCTTGAATTTAATCTGCCAAATGCAAAGTCATGAAGATTGGAGAAGGACAAAGAAGACTGCAGACAGAGTATAGGCTAGATGGCCAAAGACTGCAAACCTCACTCGAGAAAGATCTTGGGGTGAACATAACACCGAGCACATCTCCTGAAGTACACAACCAGATAACTGCTGCAGCATACGGGCGCCTGGCAAACCTGAGAATAGCGTTCCGTTACCTTAGGAATCGTTCAAGACACTGTAAACTGTGTACGTCAGACCCATACTGGAGTATGCAGCACTAGTTTGGAACCCACACCTGGCCAAACTCGTCAAGAAACTAGAGAAGGTGCAAAGGTTTGCAACAAGGTTAGTTCCGGAGCTCAGGGGAATGTCCTATGAAGGAAGGTTGAGGGAAATCGGCCTGACGACGCTGGATGACAGGAGGGCCAGAGGAGACATGATAACGACATACAAAAATACTGCGTGGAACAGATAAGGTGGACAGAGACAGGATGTTCCAGAGAGGTGGCACAGAAACAAGGGGTCACAACTGGAAGCTGAAGACTCAGACGAGTCAAAGGGATGTTAGGAAGTACTTCTTCAGTCATAGAGTTGTCAGGAAGTGGAATAGTCTAGGAAGTGATGTAGTGGAGGCAGGAACCGTACATAGCTTTAAGACGAGGTATGACAAAGCTTAGGGAGCAGAGAGAGGACCTAGCAGCGATTAGTGAAGAGGCAGGGCCAGGAGCTGAGTCTCGACCCCTGCAACCACAATTAGGTGAGTACACACACACACACACACACACACACACACACACACACACACACACACACACATAAATAGGTGAGTACAAATAGGTGAGTACACATACGGTGTTCCAGAGATGGGACGCAGAAACAAGGGGTCACAATTGGAAGTTGAAGACTCAGATAAGTCTAAGAGATGTTAGGAAGTATTTTTTTTATTCACAGAGTTGTCAGGAAGTGGAATACTCTGGCAAGTGACGTAGTGGGGGCAGGAACCATACATAGTTTTAAGACAAGGTATGATAAAGCTCGTGGAACAGGGAGAGAGAGGACCTAGTAGCTATCAGTGAAGAGGCGGGGCCAGGACCTATGACTCGACTCATACAGCCGCAATTAAGGGAGTACACACACAGTTTCCAGGAGCTGTATGACCATTTCGTGTTTAAAGCTTCCACATGATTATATTATTTATCCCCTAGTGGTTGGTGCACAGTATTAATACCCGTAACCCCTTAGTGTACACCGTGTTCAATGTAGCAGCATGTGCATCACCCCTCCCTTCCCCGCCACACTTTCTCCCACGCCAGGAGAAAGTGACTGTGATGAAAGCCAGGAAAGAGTATGACGGTCTAGATGCAGGCTTCACTCTGGAGTAGGTTGAATACACACTGCGCCTAGGTGCCTTGATTTACTGTTGGAGGTTCTGGTGTGTGTCATTGTGGTGCACCCACCTAGTTGTATATTCAGGGGTCGATTCATAGGCCCTGCCGCTTAAGTTTTGTCGATCAGTCTTATTACTGGTTCCTTGCCTCTTTAGTCTTAATAATACCCCTTCTTTGAATCGAATTTCAATTCCCTGAACCCTCCCTTTCCTTTCAGCTAAATTAGTGAGAATATTTCCCCTTTCGTGAAATATCGCTACTAGACATTAGGAAAAAAGACACTCTTGGCCCTGTTTTAACGTAAGCCACCGTTGGTGGTACTGTGATGGGCCACTCTACGGGATGGTAATATAATCATCTCACTGCGTGTCAGGTGACCTTCTGATTAGACTCGGGTGGCCATCTAAGCAGGATCTCTAAAAAGGTTCCTTGATCTCAGTGAGGGGCATTTGATCTAAGGAATAGGACCTACCCGTCCCTTCCTTGATTGCCTCCGATACCCCCCGGCACTGGCTGCCCCCTAGTGAATTTAGCAGTTCATGTTGTCTATAAATACATTATTTTTAATGTGCAGGTGACAGTCACGCGCTGTCCATAAATGAGGCGGTTGTTGAGGAAACGTTTCCTCAATCAAGATACCCAATTGTTGCACATGTGTCGAATTCATCAACTTGTCGGTTCCCTGAACCATTTATACAATTTTATTCAGTTATACACAAATACATTTTCATAGATTATCACACATAGCAGCATATGTGTAGATTATTATTTTGTTTATTGGGTTTAAAGCCTTGATGTAGGTCATGAAGGAAACAGTTTATCTGTTCATTAGCAGTCAAATAAACTTAGCGGCTACACCTCTCGGGATATATACTGTATACAGTATTGTAATCCCCTGGAACTAGTCATCTACCTCTCGGTATATATACAGTATAGGGTATTGTAGCTCCTGGAACTGGTTATCTACTAGTCCTTATCCATACGGGTTTAGCGCCTATTTTTAATATATTCTAATACAGCAATAATAATGTCTTTATCGGGCCGTCTCAACCACCTGTTAGTCATTATAAGGGGTGACTTATAATGGTGGTGGTGACCCTTCGTAATTGAGTGAAGATTAGCCTCTTACCCACACAGCAGGAGGCGTAGCCGTAGGTGCAGGAGGAGGTGGGGGTTCCGATTTCCCTCCTGCACTGCTGCTGCAAAACACACTCGCCCACACGTCCATCTTGACCCACGCACTCCACACCTGCAGCACCCACCGTCAGCATACGGAAGAGGCGGTCCAGTGCCAGCCCTGGGGAGTCCCAGGAAGTTGGTTATGTTGAATGTCAATCGACTGCACTAAATTCAACTATATTAACATCGAGAAATATTTTTATCCCCAAGTTCGGGATTAGAGTAAACTCAGTGCGTGTGTATAAACTGCGAGTTACACATCTCTCAGTGACTGATTCTCAAGAGGATCAGGTATGCCAACATTTAGATTATTACCGCCCACAGAGGCTAGTTTATTATTCAATCGTAGCTCATCCTGTAAGGAGCAGCATAAAAAAATGACTTTATATTCTTTCAGACTTGGGGATAAATACTCCATGAACCATACAGTTAAATTTCTGTACAGTTTAATATTATATATGGCTGTCCACATACTTTACATTTTATGTTTGAAATCTTAAGAAATGCTCCGTCCTTCAAGGAGATGAATTTGATAAAAGAAATTAAAGCTATCATTTCCTTCCTTGGATCAAACCTGATTACCTCCCATTCCTCAAGTGCTCTGGCATATATGGACGACGTTGCGTTTTTTTTTTTTTTTTTTTTTTTTTTTTAGCGCTGTATAGCCCTTATGTCTTAGCGCTTCTTTTTGATAATAATAATAATTTAGGTTCTTTTAAGAGGACGGCTTGTCACCAAAATGACATATAGTAAATGACGGGGGAGTTGGGGGGGATGTATACTTACATCGGGGTCCTCTTTCTGGGAAGGTGTTGTACATGAGGTCCTGGGGCGCCTGTAACACGGCTGGGTCCTCGGCCAAGGTGGTGAGCGCTGGTAGCGAAGATGGAGACGTGGGTGGGTGACCAGTAGACGTCGTTATTCTTGTCTCGGACGTCCCACCTCGCGTTTTAACGTATTTACCTGTCGTAGACCGCCACTCCTCTTGGCTGAAACTCGCGTCTGTTGCAGGTTGTGGTGGTAGGGGGAGTAGATGGTGTATGTGGTTCGCCACAGTGTTGTGATGAGTTTCCATGGCTGCTGCACGTAGAATTGGTCGAGGCAGCATCTGGCTGGTTACTGCCCGGTGGCGCCCCTTCACTCCTACTGCAGGTGATGGTAAGGCAGGAGCGGGTGTGTATGGGTGTTGGTGGCTGCTACCTCAATCACCACCGGCTGATCTCTCACCCACCAGCGTCCTCTTTCTTTGTTGTCTCTCCAACCACGTCCACTCTCTACGCTGTCCCTCCAGCCACGCCCTCTCCTCTCTAGGTTGTACCTCCAGCCACGTTCTCTCCTCTCTAGGATGTCCCTCCAGGCACCTTCGTTTGTGTCTTTATCACTATTCCAGTCATCCTCCAGCTCTCTCTTGCCAGTATGATGCTCCAGAGCTTGGAGACCGCTCGACCACCTCAGCCGCGTTCCTACCTCCGTCGTCCATGATGACTGCTTCTCGAGTTGATCTAGGAGGCGAGGATGTCTCTGAGTTCGGCCCACCTGTGCGATACTGTGCGTGACGAAGGGGTAGGGCTGCAGGAAGTCGCTGTATAAGTTGTCAGCGGTGGGCTGGACTGTGGTGGGCGACGAGTTCACCTGTGATAGAGTCACTAGATAGGTCAAAGCTAACAGCAAGAGCCACTTGTGTGTGAGATGCGTGGTGAGTGCCTCACGCACACTCAATACACACTCGGTGAGTGCCACTCTCATGGTAACTGATGCTTTTCACGATATGCAACCTTTCAGAAATGTCAGTAGTTGAGTTTTCGTGACATTACTGATGTGTCACGATGCGGCTGACTCGAAGTTTTCACTCACACATGCGTTGACTGACGCACATCAGTGCTGTAATCACACTTGTGAAGCTACATGCTTGTCAGCACCTCGATGATTCTCCATCATCATGTTCAACTTTAAAAGCTTTTATATATATATATATATATTTTTTTTTTTTTGGGGGGGGAAGGGGGTAAAAACTTATCAGCTCTAAAATGTACTTATTTGTTTTGAAAATTATCATTTATTAGCATTACTATAATTATTTTGTATCTACTAATCACTCAACTGAATGTATAAATCACTTAATTACCTTTCCTAACCTTGAACGTCAGATATTAACGTATTACACTAAGGCGTTTTTCTTTGATGAGGCTGAAGGTTCACACTTTTCCGTATACCGAGAAGACTCACACATAATATTATATAAATACATATATATATATATATATATATATAAATATATATATATATATATATATATATCACTAGGATGTATTAATATGAATTGAAATGTACGGGTATCTTTCAGTAAGCCGCAGCAGTTCAGTAGCTTTCAGGTCACCACAGTATGTGTTCAAGTACTTAATCCGCAAACCCTGAAACTGCGCCCTGAAAAAAAAATCTTATTAAGCAAATTTAAAACATAAATTATTTTATATAATCAAGGTTTATGCTAAAGCTGATTATGTGTGCTTATCTAGTTGTTGTTGAATGTGTTTACCTGTTTGTGATGTCAGCACTTCTAGGAAGACAGTGATTGAATGAACTATGGTTTTTCTTAACTGCTTTGGCGGGTGACGGACGGTGAGAAAGGTAGAGTTACTCGGTTTTGCCTCAACGATATACCATGTGAAAATAAATTGTTTGATAAATATTGTGTGTGTGTTGTATTATGTAACTGTATTGTTATATTTGTATATTCAGCAAGATTACATTACCCTCACCCATGATTATATATCCATAGCTCACTGGCTTGAGCGAGGTGGGTAGCGAGAGTAAAATGTAACCATCAAGGAGAAAGTGACGTACATCTTTGTGTGAGTTATTGGACAGTTGAGAGCTGGGAGGAGGAGGAAGAGGAGGGGAGAAGAGGTAAGAAGGAAGATAAACAAGTTGTAATGAAAGGAGTAACATGTTTAAACACCCAGGTAACAAAAATTAAAGTTTGCGGCTAAGGCAGCTAGTTAATTATGCGGTTGCTATCGTGTAGGCCTACTCGTTTTTACTTAGATTTGAACACATCAGCAGTGTGCTGCTGCTCTATATGACAGCTACATAGTGACTAGAAAAGTTACTGTTTCTGTCATATTCCATAACACTGGATAGATTTCAGCGTTGATATTTGTCAGCCTGATGCTGGTAAAGGGCTTTTGATCTATAAAGGTGGAGCTACTCGCCTTTTCCTCGGATCAAACCTGATTGTCTGCCATTCCCCAGGCTCTGAATGAGACTTACGGTATTAGCACTTTTCCATGAACATGTATATGTAGTAACAATGACCACAGAACTTGTCTATAAAAGGGTTAAAAGAGAATATTTGAATGTGTTTACAATATATCTATATAACACAGGAGCCAGGAGCTGTGAATTGACCCCTGCAACCACAAATAGGTAAATACACACACAGGGGCCAGGAGCTGTGATTCGACCCCTGCAATCACAAATAACCGAGTACACACATACATACAGGGGCCAGGAGCTGTGACTTGGTCCCCTCAACCACAAATAGGCGAGTACACACGCGTACGTACGTACGTGTGTTAAATGTTACTAACAAGTTTGGAGATCCTGTGTTCAAATTTTGTGGTATTTTATTTTTATTAATAAAATACCTTAAAATAAGCATAGCTGCATATATTACTTCTTTATAGTTTTAATATGTTAAATTTATGCATGTACGTGTTTAAGAATGTGACTTTAAGATTTATTTCAATCAATGTTCTTGTTCAACTGCTGGTAAATGTACTTCTAACCAGACCTAAGCTTGACTGTCATTAAGATGGCGAAGATTTCACTTTGTGGTGTAGAGGCCTAATAGTTAATTATCATGCATAAATTAATATGTTTTTATTGGAGGCGATGGTAAAAAAGGAGTTATAACCTAGGGAAAAAAAGTAGAAGTTATAATAAGGAGAGAGGGAAGAGAAGGGGGAAAATAAGCGACGCTCTCGCCTCACACACGTGTTCGTAGTTCCATCCTCGGCAGCGTGGAAACATTGGGCCTGTTTCCTTACGCCTACTGTCCCTGATCACCTAGCAAGTAAGTAGGTACCAGGGTGTTAGTCGAATGGTGTGGGTTGCATCTGGGGGGGGGGGAAGTTTGAGGATCCCAATGGAAATAAGACAGTCCCTCGATAACGCACTGCCTTTCTTGGGTAGCTTACCCTCCGGGGTTAAAAATCCGAAGAAAATCTTATCTCTCGGAGAGCAAGCCAGCGAGTTATCCTCCCCACCCCAATTCCTCCTACTAGGGTAGGCGGCCCCCAGCCACCTCGCATCACGCCTCAACAAGTCTGTCACAATATTTATGCCTTTTACATTCACTGTTTTTCATCATAAACTTCACCCACACCCATCTCAACCCCTCCTGATATCCCCCACTCCAGTGTGGTTGAGAGGCTTTTAAACCTAATACACCATTGAAGGAGAATAAGAGCAGCAACCCAGGTGCCTGAGTTGGTGTACGTGTTTAAAATGCCCAGTATATAGTTTAATATGACACTCACTGCAGCCTATCCCTATTATATTGCTTCCATTTTTTTAGACAGGCTACATAATCGTATGTTTAACCCGAGGTATATTGGCAATTTTTGCTGCTTTCATCCCTAGTACTGCAATCCATATGTTTCCCACACAGTTTGACAGGCAAATACTCTCTTAAGAAAATATTACTATGTACTATCCTAGCAATGTGCTTATATAACCTTGTACTGTTATCTTAACAATGTGCTGTTATCCTGTCATTGTGCTGGTATAACAATGTTATCTTCTCTTCGCAGTGTCCTGATAACATGTTGTTATCAACATGTTATCAGGACATTGTCAACGTGCCGCTATCATAACATTTGCTATAACGTCGCATAACTTTTTTACAATACAATCAGATCTATTAAGAGTACATTAGTCACAGTCCGTAAACAGTATTCACAATTCGTTCTGAATTATAGAGCAAAAATCACATTATAGAAATCAGCAAAATGTTATGGAAGACTCGTTATATAGGTTTAATCCGAGGGGTGAGAGGAAATCATCACCAGTTCGTTGGATCAAGAACCCTACTTTAAGGATGTCTTTTCTAGGTTG